TGGACGCGGGTTCCAGGTCAGTTCCCCGCCACACCCTGGGGCAGCCTCACCGATAGGCGGCACTCAGCGCCATGTAGAGCCCGAGGAAACAGAGCAGCTCACGCCACAGAAGTTTGTAGATGCTCCCCCGCCACAGCAGGAGCAGTTGCGAGAAACCGCCGAAGCGCGCGTTTGCTACGCGTGCGGTGTACGTGACCGTCATTGCGGCGCCGGGCGGGTCCCGCCAGAGGATTAGGGCTTGAACCGGACCCAGGCCTGTGGACCGAGGAAAGCGGGGTTGGGAGGCTGCCGACCTGGGGCTTCGGGCCGGGGTAGAGCGATACTGAGCCGGCTCGCCTCGGTGTCCTCTTCCGCGCCCGGGTCACCTGCTCGCTTCGTCTCTTGCCCAGTTTTTCGCCTTCTCCCAGCCTGGCTCAGTCTTGCCCTAGCCCCCAGTCCTTTAATCTCCCTTTTGGGACTCCAGGTCTCAGCGTCCTGTGCCTACTTTCCTCAGGCCTTCTCTACCCCACCTTCAAGACCACCCCCCTTTAGTGGACTCTGCCTACAGCCTTTCCTCTCCCTAAGTGCCTAGCGCCTCAGTTTCTAGGTTCTCAGGGCTCCGGCTACCAACCAACCCAACTCCCTCTCTCAGGTCCCACCTCCAGCCCCCTCACCCCCAGCCCCCCAGTCTCAGCCCATTCTCTGGTCCTGGATGCCCTTCTGAAGCCCTTGAAGACTCGTCCCCAAGCTTCCAGGCTGCTTGCCTCAGGCTGGCTGGCGCCTCTCCTCTGCCTTAGCCTATCCACCACCCCACTTAATTGCCCTGGCTCTGTCCCCTCCGCCTTCTGGACCCACCTTGACTTTTCTTCTGTCCAGTCTTCCAAGCCCTCCACTCCCCATCCTGAGGATCATCTATCCTCAGAATCCCCTGTTTCCCCCCACCCCCCAGCCTGGGTCCTTCTCACCTGGTGACTGGTGCAGGGACACTTGGGGACAGGGACTGGATAGGCGGGTGGCTGCTGCAGTTGGGTGGGGCTGCAGCCAGACCCTGGGCGGGAGGGGGCTGGGGAGTGGGCGTGGGCGGCCTGGCCCTGGCCCGCCCCCCTCAGCTGCTGCCTTAGAACTTTGTTTGGAGAAGCCAGTTTTGTTACCTGGGGCAGGGGGTAGAAATCCACCCTGTCCTCCTTGCTCCTCCCTGTCCCTCTCCCAGTCACTGGGAGGTCCAAGGGATCTTGGACTTAGAGCTCTAGGAGGGGCAGGTAACTTCTTCCCAGTCCCAGAAACACACACACACACATTCAGGCTTCCATGAGGCTGGGTCAGTCACTCCACAGTCACCTGTGATCACACAGTCACAAAGATGCACAAAGAAACACATATCATAGATCCAGACACAAATTCAGTTTCCCTCAACACAGCCTCCCACAACCAGAGTCACCCAGACAGCATGCCATACACACTGTCAAAAAAGACTTGCAGGGGCCCTCCCCGGTGGCGCAGCGGTTGAGCGCTGGGTTGCGAAGCTGCCCGCAGCCTCTGCAGCTCGGGTTCGATCCCTGGCTGCTCCCTGGCCACCGGAGGAGGGTCCCACATGGCGCGCAGACCTCTCCTGCAGCCCGCTGCTCCCCTCAGCAGTGTACTTCGGTCCTTCTGCCTGCTCTGCTCCCCGCTCTGGCTCTGATGAATTCTCTCACCCTCCCGCACTTCTGACTGTACCCAGTGCTTGTATAATAAATAAATAAACAAATCTTTAAAAAAAAAAAAAAAAAAAAAAAGACTTGCAGGGCCTCCCTGGTGGTGCAAGGGGTTAAGCACAGCACTGGGAAGCTGTCCGCAGCCTCTGCAGTACAAATTTGATCCCTGGCCAGGGAGCTACCCACGTGGTGCAGCAGACCTCTCCTGTCTCACCCGCTGCTCCCCTCAGCAGTGTATTTCAGTATATCGGCCTGTTTTGCTCCCCATTCTTTTACTGGTGAATCCTTCCCCTCACACGTCTGGCTTGTACCCCAGTTCTTTTTTTTTTTTTTAAAGATTCATTCATTTATGCGCACAAGAACTGGGGCACAGGCCAGAAGGTGTGAGGGGTGAGAGGATTCACCAGAGACAGAGTGGGGAACAGAACAGGCAGATCGACTGAAATACACTGCTAAGGGAGCGGTGGGCAAGGCAGGAGAGGTCTGCTACGCCATGTGGGTTGCTCCCTGCCTGGAGATCGTACTCGTGCTGCAGTGGCTGTGGGTCACCCCATAGGTTGCATCTTTACCCTTTGCACCACCAGGGAGGCCCTGTACCCTAGTTCTTGTATGCATAAATAAATAAATCTTAAAGACTTCCACACACACCTAGATCTACTCCTCAGCTCCCCAACACATATGCGGATATAAAGTAAATGGACACTGGGCCTCCCTGGTGGCGCAGCGGTTGAGCGCTGGGTTGCGAAGCTGCTCGCAGCCTCTGCAGCGCCAGTTCAATCCCCAGCTGCTCCCCGGCCACCGGAGAAAGGTCCCACATGGTGCGCAGACCTCTCCTGCCGCCCACTGCTCCCCTCAGCAGTGTACTTCGGTCCTTCTGCCTGCTCTGCTCCCCGCTCTGGCTCTGGTGAATTCTCTCACCCTCCCGTGCTTCTGACTGTACCCAGTGCTTGTATAAACAAACAAACAAACAAATAAATCTTAAAAATAAATAAATAAATAAATAAATAAATCTTTAAAAAAAAAAAGTAAATGGACCCTAATCCACACAGTACTCAGCTCTCAGGTGCTCACAGTGTGCTCCAAATAACCTCCCAGAAGGACATGGGCAGGGATCCAAGTGTCCTGCATTCCCTCATGATCACACCATGTAAAAAAGACACACATAAGGTTATACACCAGCTAAGCACAGACCCTAGACTGCCACATGGCCACACACCAGATGGGAGGTAGCACACATTTTTACTGACGGTCTCTTCTGTGGTCACATACCAGATGTAGGAACCCCTGTCCCCAACACAGTGGCACATGGTCCTGGTGGTCCCTTAGACTATCAATATTGTAGACACTCATGTAACAGTGATCACTCCCCAAAAGTCCCACAGACTCAAAGGGTCACATCCAGGCAGCGTCATGCCTGTAACCCCTTGTGAAACTCACCTGCATTTGCACCTCAACACATCAGACACCTACCCTTTGCTTCCCCTCCCTGCCATGAAAACGTAAGTTTGGGAACACATAACTTTGTTTCTACATTTGTCATGGATGCGTGACAAATACTCCCCCCGCACACACACCCCTATAAAGGGGACACTTCCAATGTGGCAAAAAAGCCAACTTCAAATGGCGCAGACTGGAGTGGGAGGACATGAGGCTCAGGTTTCCAGTCCTGAAGTACCCTGGGGTGCTCCTAAGCCCCTCAAGTCCATCAGGTGTCCTAGGAAGTTTCATGGCTCCCCACAGCCACGCCCAGAAGCCCTACCATCAAGGACGCTGTGTTCCTAGCCAAGCAGATGTCCGCCCCGCCCGGGGTAATTAGGAACCGGCCCAGGCTGGCCACCCTCTGACCCGCGCCTCCGCTATCCAGCTGCTGGACAGCTCATAAAAGGGGAGAGAGGTTGGTGCCACTAGGGGAGGGGACAGGCTGATGGGCCTTTATCCTGACCATCAGCCCCCACTTCCTAGAATGATTTCTCACTTTTACTGAAACTAGCCTCTATCCCAACTTGCACATGTCAGCACATACTTCTGACTGTTGGACCTCTGCTGTGCTAGGGCTGGATGCCCGGGTTAGTTCACATGATTAATAATTGTAACATGCCTTGGCAAGGATGTGCCTAGTGCTATTGTAAAGTTGTCAGATATTTCATCTCATTGAGTCCCTACAAGCAGGAGTGTTGTTATTCCTACCACCCAGGTAGGGAAACTGAGGCTTAGATGACACAGCCATGCTCATGACATGGCTGGGATGTGAACCCAGTTTGTGTTGGAGTCTTGGGTTGGCCACAGGCTACACATCTGAATTTGTTTACAAGCACCACCCCAATGTGCCCACACCTGCTTGTGCACACCCAGCAGTCAAGTTGGGGGACACGTTTAGGCTCGTGGCTGAGTTCCCCCTTACACACACACCCTGGCACGCCCAAACTGGGTGTGCTAGGATGTCTGAACACTTCCTGACTCATGTATGTCCTCACGCACTCCTCTGTCCCCCTCAGCCAGCACTGGCATGGCTCTTGCTAACACTCAGGTTCAAGGCTTCTCCTGGGTCTCTCAAGTGGGCCTCTCAAGTGGGGATGATTGTCGCAATGCAGACAACAGCAGAGAGGAGTGAAGAGGGGAGCTGGCTGGCTAGGTACCTTCTTGGCTGGACTATCAGGTAAATTTGTGCCGCGGTTCTGTGAATGGCCATACTTATCTCCATTTTAGGGATGAGGGGGCTGAACCTCAGACAGCAGCAAACATGATACAGACCAATTGGGGAGACAGCTCTAGAGGTGGCATGCGACTCCAAAGACCCCTCTAACCTGAGTTCTTTGCCATCCTGCTCCTCAGTCAGCCCCCATGTTGCAGCCCTGTGCTGGGAGTGGCCAATGTCATCCATGGGAGGCAGGAATTGGGGATGGGGGTGGGGTGTAGATTGTTAATCCCCAGTCTGGCAGGCCCAGCCTCTGCCCAGGGCGCCCACTAATTCCCAAACCAAACAGCAGGTAGTGCTGGGCTGACTGCTTACCTAATCCGCTCCCCATCAGCCAAGGGCTGGCCAAGGGGCCTTCTGGTTCCCACGTTCCCAGCCTTGAAGCAAGTGGGTAGGTGCCCCTTCTACTCCAGGCTTTACAGCCCCCATAGGGACACCCCTACCCATAAAGAGCTAAAAAAGGCATCTCCTTACTGAGAAACCCTCCTTCCAAAATTCCTACAATAAACATACATCTATTAGGTTTTTGTTGCAACCATGCCCCTCCATATTTGATGTCTTTATGCAGTGTACAACCTGTGCAACTGTTCATGAAGGTGCTGATCCCAATCCCTCCATTCAACATCACAGTGGTTTAAGATCATTTTATTGAAAGGCGAGAGGCGAGGAGAGGTGGGGAGGCAGCTACAGCCCCCATGAGCCCCACCAGGGGGAACAGACACCCTCCCTGCCTCCCACCCCTCAAGTGGCTCCCCCTGTACTAAGGGGGGAATTTGTGCAAACTCTGCCCCGGGATGGGGTGGAGGGTAGGTGTGAAATGGTAGGGGCTGGGGCTGGAGGTGTACTACTGGGAACTGGGGGGCTTGTAGGGCTCCAGGAGGAGGGCAGAGAAGGTATTGACCTTGTCTGCCCCCCGTACTTCGTGGGGCAGCAGCGGCAGCTTTACAATGTGGAAGTCTTCATACAGGTCCTCCATCTGTGGCCGGGCAGAAGGCAGCAGTCAGGGGGTCATAAGGCAGGTACAGGATATGGGTGGATGGAAAGGGTCATGGCTGGGGGTTTCCCAGAGTCAGGGAGAGATTATGGGGGAAGGGTTCACAGGGTCACAAGTGAGTTCAGTATAAGGTTAAAGATCACTAGGCTTGGCCTCCCACAGGCCAGAATTAGGGTGAAGGATCTGAAGTGGGGGAGAACAGGGGCCGGGGATGAGGGTTGGAAGACGTGGATTTTTTTCAATAAACAGTCGGTCCTCCATATCTATGGGTTGTACATTCATGGATCAAGAGGATGCCAGTGGGTTGAGTTTGCATCCTTCTGCAGATGCTAAACCCACGGAGACTCAACTATAAGGCACTTGAGCATCTTCAGATTTTGGTATCCGTGGGATTCCTGAAACTAATCTTGACTACAATAGTAGTTAAGGTTTTTTGGGGGGGATTTCAAGTTTTGGGGGGAATTTTCAATTGTGGGGATTAGTAATGCCTTGCCTGGGCTAGGCCAGGTCCAAGTTCCAGGGTCAGAAGGTGTAAGGCAGACTTGTGTACCTGGTCCAGGTACTTGGCCTGGATCTTGTGGCGGGCCTCACACATCTTGCAGGGCTTCTCGGGGTCAGGGAAGACGAGTTGGTTGACAATGATGTTGTGTGTGTCGATCTTGCACTTGGCCAGCTCCTGGATCAGTCGCTCTGTCTCATATAGGGACAGGAATTCAGCGATGCAAACACAAATGAAGGTTGTTTGCTCCTGCAGGGTGTCAGAGAGGATGGTAAGGGGAAATTCCTGCCTGCCCTGTCCCCATGCTTGGAGCTTCTTACAGCCTACCTGGACCGAAACTCACCGGGTCCTTGAATTGCTCGCTGACGGACCGGATGACTGGCAACGTCTCCTCCAGCTTGGAGGCCAATTGATCTGCATTCATGTCCCCTAAGCCTAGCATGTTGCACATCTGTGGGGAGGACATGGGAGGGCTCAAAGCTTCCCTGTGGCTTATCACATCCCCTGGGTGTCCAGTGATACCTCCCCCCAACACCTCCCAGTGGTTAAAGGCATGGGCCCTGGAGCTGACCCCTCGTCCTAGTTCTGCCATTTCCAGGGAACTGTGGTCAAAAGTTTCTGTTTCTCCAAGTGTAGACTATAATTCTAAGAGCTGTCATGCAAGAAAACTGACACAGGTAATAACTTCAAAGCAGTGCCTGGTACAGTGTTCAAATGTACTACCAAGGAACACATGCCTATAGGAGGACCACACACACCAAGGGGGTGGTGGTGGTATGCAGATGTGTAGGAGCACTGGGACTGTCATGTTGTAACATTAAGAATAACCTATGGAGGCACCTAATGATCTACATTTGATAAGGAATGTGAGGCCCAGAGAGGTGAAGTGACTTACTTGGGGGTCACAGAAGACCTCAAGTTGTGTCAAACCAGAGTAAGAACATTTGAACCTAGACATCTGGCTCTGGAATATGTGCTTTTTGGCTTTATCCTGGACACTGAGTCCTGTGGGTAAGAGTGTAGTCCCTCCATAGAGAACCACCCTACCCACTGGGAAATGCTGAGAAGGGGTGTGTGAGAAAGCCCTGGGGTAGAATAGGCAGAGATATGGGGGCCCACTGCAACTCAGGGGCCCTGCCTGCCTGTGAGATGAAGGGGCTGATCTGGTTCTTGATCTGCATGAGGCGGCCGAGGCCCCGCTCAACGATTGTGGGGAAGTTGAGCAGCCGCAACGTGTGGCCTGTGGGAGCCGTGTCAAACACCACCACTGAGAAGTTCATGCCCTTCACCAGCCTGTGGGGAGATGGGGGTCAAGGTCACTCTTCCACTAGAACCCACCCTCCAGTCCCAACCCCAACAGCCAGGCCTGACCTCATGACCTCCGCATAGCTCATGGCTTCATCAATGCCCGGGAAGGCGCTCATGGCTTCCTGCATCATCTTCTTGCCCATGCTCAGCATGTTGTCCTCCTCGAAGAACTCATCAGGTAGTTCAGCCACACCGAGGCTGGGATCAATCTCCTGGTGCCAAGGAATGGAGACTCAGGATGTGGCTACTGCCAGGGTTTTCCTACTTGGGTGCAGGGCATCACAGGGGACATCCCGGAGGTACCATGTCCTTCCCTCTGGCATGTAAGATTTTGTGGGGGGGTACAAATGGCTTAACCATTTCACAACAAATGAGAAACTGCAAATGGTGACCAGAGTCCCCAGAGGGAAGCCCAAACCCACTGCCGGGCCTTTTCACTGGCTGTTCCCCACCTGGGTCCCTGACTTCTTGCTTATCATTCCTCTAACATGAGTCTTCCCTCATCACTCTAATAATGCAAACCAACACCCTTGCTCCCTTCTCTTCTCCTTTACATCCAGCCATCTCACATCCTACAGGCCTTATAGGCATACCTCATTGTAGTGTGCTTTGCAGATAATGCGTTTTTACAGCACCAGAAAGATTATGACTTGCTGAAGGCTCAGGGATGGTGAGCGTTTTTAAACATATGTATTGGGCCTCCCTGGTGGCACAAGGGGTTGAGACACAGCCTTTGAAGCTACCCACAGCCACTGCAGGATGAATTCAATCCCGGCCAGGGAGGAGACCCACATGGTGCAGCAGACCTCTCCCGTCTCACCCACTGCTCCCCTCAGCAGTGTATTTCAGTCGGTCTGCCTGTTCTGCTCCCTACTCTGTCTCTGGTGAATCCTCTTACCCCCCATACCTCTGGCCTGTACCCCAGCTCTTGTATGCATAAATAAACAAATCTTTTTTAAAAAAAGGAATGACAAAAAAAGTATTGCTTTTTTTCAGACAATGGTTTTACATGTAATAGATTAAATATAGTATAAACATACTTTGATATACCTTAGAAATGAAAAAACTCATGTGACTTGCCTTATTGTGACAAGTGCTTTACTGAAGTGGCCTGGAATGCAGTATCTCCTAGGTTTGCCTCTATTTATAATGTTTATCATGTATCTCCCTAACCAGAATGATGGTCTCACAAGGGCAGGGTTTTTTCTGTCTTGTTCACTGCTGTGTTCCCATTACCTGGAGGTGGCTGGCACACAGTAGGTCTATAACATGCACATGGAATTCACCAGTAGATGACCATCCTTGGGGTCCCTGGTCAGCCCTGAATTCAGGTTCTCCCACTGTGTCTCCTTCCCATGTAACCTTTTTTTTTTTTGCTATCAAAAAAATTTTTTTTTAAATTTATTTTTGTGTAGAAGAACTGTGGTGTAGGCCAGAGGTGCAGGGGTTGGGGGATGAGAGGATTCACCAGAGACAGAATGGGGAGTAGAACAGGAGGCTCGACTAAAATACACTGCTGAGGGGAGCAGGGGGGTGAGACAGGAGAAGTCTGCTGCACTATATGTGGGTTAGTTCCCTGGCCGGTGATCAAACTCAGGCTGCAGAGGTGACAGTGCAGAGACTTAACCCCTAGGGCCCCATGTAACCTCCTCTTGGTGACTTCATGAGTACAACCCCAACTTGCTGGCCTCAGAGGTCATTCCCTGTAGGAAGCTTGCCTACCCATTGCTCCCCAGTTTCAGTTTGGCTGGGTTATTCCTAGCTATTGGGTCACTTGGCCTGGCCTCCATACCTTTTGTCTATTATTCCAAAGCTCTTTGAGCCCCCTCGTTTCCTCACACTGCTCCTTTTCACTGTCCCTCTTGGTCAGCACTCTTCTCCATCTCAGGAGTTTGCCTCTGCAAACACTCCCTCTTCCCTCTGTGGATGGCAAAGTCCCTACCCTGGTTATTCCCAGCCCTTTGCTATAGCTGCATTATGATTAACATGAGGGAAACATACCCAGTGACAAACACCTCGATCCCCAGTCCTTATCACAAATCTCCAATAGGCCCTCAACAACCCAGACAATCCACCCTTGGAAGTGTTTATGTTATTTCTTCTCCTTCCTCAAAATTTCTGTCCTAATCACGCCTTGCTTTTGTGTGTGTATGTGTGTGTGCAGAAGAACTGGGGTGTAAGCCAGACATGCGGGGGGCGGAGAGGATTCACTAGCGACAGAGTGGGGAGCAGAACAGGGGGATTGACTGAAACACACTGACAAGGAGAGCAGTGGGCGAGATAGGAGAAGTCTGCTGCGCTATGTGTGAGTTAGCTCCCTGGCCGGCGATGGAACTCAGGCTGTTGCAGTGAAAGCTGAGACTTAACCCCTAGGCCACCAGGGAGGCTCCCATCTCTCACTTTCTGCTGAGCACTGTCCCTCGCTTGTGCCTCAGCAAGAAAGAGAAGCTACTGCTGTCAACACCCCCTTCTTTCCCCAGGAGATACCCCCACTCTCCACCATCTTCCCTCCGAATTCCTAGTCCTGGTAGAACCCAAGTTCTGGGTCTGTGCACTGGATGGAGCTCATGCCTGCCTGAGATTTGTCCTCCATCAGTATCCTTGCTGCCTCCTGCACCATCAGCTGTCCCACCCCGAAGAAGCATTTGTATCAATAAACAATATGCTCTGGCATCTCCATTCTCAAAATGCCCTCCTTAACACCCCCTCACATTTTCCTCCAGCAATAGCCCTGTTTCTTAGCCCCCATAATGGTGATCACTGTTGCCGCCTTGGCTCACTCACATTTGACTTTTTTTTTCTTTTTTTTTTTTTAGAGGCATGTTTTATTTATTTATTTGTTTGTTTGTTTTGTTTATATATGCACTGGGTACAGTCAGAAGCGCGGGAGGGTGAGAGAATTCACCAGAGCCAGAGTGGGGAGCTGAGCAGGCAGAAGGACCGAGGTACACTGCTGAGGGGAGCAGCGGGCGGCAGGAGAGGTCTGCGCGCCATGTGGGACCCTCCTCCGGTGGCCGGGGAGCAGCCGGGGATCGAACCGGCGCCACAGAGGTCGCGGGCAGCTTCGCAACCCAGCGCTCAACCGCTGCGCCATCAGGGAGGCCCCCACATTTGACTTTTGCAACTACTCCCAGGGTGGTCTTTCTAAAACTGATGTGCTTGCTGGAGCCCATAGCCCATGACCTCTTCCTGACTAAACTGTCTTTGTTCTGGAGCTCAGGAACACATACTCTCTGGCTTTCCTTCTATCTCAGCATTGGCTCCTTCACTAGGGCCCCTGCTGGACCCAAAATGTTGATGTACTCTTGGGTCATTTCTGGAACTCTCTGTTCAATCATACTCAGCTCTACTCACACAGCGTTAAATACCATCCTATGACAACCCAAAATCAACACCAACTCTACCTGAGCTCCAGGCTCACATAATTAAGACACTCCTGATGTCTCCACTTGAATGTCTAGTAGGCATTTTAGATTCACAATTCTTGATCTGTCATTTCTAATTCTACTCTACTCTTAGTTCTCTCCATGGCAGCTGCTCAGGGAACAAACTATGAGATATACTTAATTCATTTCTCACTTATTACAACCAAGCAGTCACATTGCTTTACATCCAAAATATATCCATGTCTGGCCATCCAGCCACTTGCTCCCAACATTCTGCCCCTACACGAGTTTAGGCTGCCATTATCTTTCTGGTTATTGCCCTTGTTTTCTTGCTTCCATTTTTGACTTACAATCTCTACATGGCAGCTAGAGGATATTTTTAAAACATGCTTAAAAACTTGGGGCCTCCCTGGTGGTGCAAGGGGTTAAGACGTAGCAATATGAAGCCATTGTAGCCACTGCAGCATGAGTTTGATCCCCGGCCAGGGAAGTGACCCATATGGTACAGTAGACCTCTTGTCTTGCCCGCTGCTCCCCTCAGCAGTGTATTTTAGTACATCTGCCTGTTCTGCTCCCTACTCTGTCTCTGGTGAATCCTCTCACCCCTGCATCTCTGGCCTGCATCCCAGCTCTTGTATTGCATAAGTAAATAAATCTTAAAAAGAAAAAAACAAAACTTCTCATTAAGCTTGGAATCAATGATAAATGACTCTCAGTAGCTTGCATGGTCCTACTTGAGTCACATAGCTCTTGACATGAGCCTCCTTTCCTCTTGATCACTAAGTTTTGGTGACTTTGGCTTCCTTTTTGCTTTGAAAACATAGCTCACTTCTGGGTATGTTGGGAAAGGGATGAAAGTGGAGAGACAAGATGTAGAATGGGCAGGGCATAATGGCTGATGGTGAGTGTTCACAGGAAAGGGGTCTTTGAAAGGGGACTTTGCCAGAATGGAGAGCTGAGTCTTAGTCCACTCACCATGGCGAAGAGGTTGTCATAGCCTTTGACCTTGGTAGGCACCTTGGAGAACTTCTGGTCAAAAGCATCTGAGATGTTGTGGGCTGGGTCTGTGGAGATGATAAGAACACTCTCCCGCCCCTTAGATAGCTGGACTGCTAGGCTGCAGCTGGGTAAGGAAAAGGTTAAAAGGGGAGAGAGGGGTGAGATTCTGTTCCCTAGGACTGCAAGGGGCCCAGGAGCAGGAGACTAGGATCAGCAGGGCCTTGAGAGGAGATTATAGGTGATTACTGAGCAAGTCTCAATCCCTGCAGAGGGACCCTTTCAGACCTCACCTACTGACTCTTCTAGCTGACTAGACTGGTATGATTCAGCTGATTGAGTTGATCTGGCCTGAAGCTTCTTTGTTCTTTTGCTGGGCAGAGGGGTCTAGTTGTGCAGTCAGCATGGCTTGATCTTGTGCTCCCTTCCTCAATGCTAAGTCCACCGTGCACGATAATTTGCCCGGGGATCCTTCACCCTCCTCCCAGTTGGTTGGGACAGTCTGATAAAGTGCCCTCTCCTCCGCTTCCACCCCCACCCCGACGCCTGACATCGAATGGCAAGGTTCAAAGACTAGGATAGTTTGCTTCGTTGCCCCTCCCCCTAATCTGAGCACTGTATGGACAAGCTGCTTGGGAAATCTCAGTGCCCCTCTCCCCTCAAAGCTGGATTCACTGTGGTTCGTCCCTGGAGCCCCAATGGAGATAGTCCAAATGGATTGTGCCGGGCCTGCATTCAGGAGGTCTCTTCCACTTGTTCCATGTAACTTCCGGAGAGTATAGCCCGGGAGACCTGGACTCAATCCTCTTGCCCAGTTCTGGGTGGAAGAGCCGGTTCCTGACCTCCCCTTCGCCCGGTGGTACATCCCACCCGTCTTCCCACTCTCAGCCTACTTACCTGCAGGTGGTCTTGCCAACGCCACCCTTGCCCCCGACAAAAATCCATTTAAGGCTGCGCTGCTCGATGATGTTGCTAAGCGTGGGCTCCAGCGGCTCCACATCAGGTGCATCCTCGAACTCCTCCGCCTCAACCCCCCACCCGGCCACCCCAGCCGCCATCTTGGAACCGGCTCACGTGATCCAGCGGAGCACACCATACAAAACACCTACAGGGGAGATTCCCTATCACATCCCCATCAAGGGTAGAAGCCTGGATTAATTTCTCCGTGGTCTGACTTTTAGATGGTAATAGAGATATATTTCCAATGTCACCCCCTTTTGAGGTTCACCTTGTGGATCTCTTGTCTATATATTTTCAATGACTCCCCCTGCCTAATTAACAAATTGGTACGTTCCAGGATACTCCCCTTCACGGATTGGGCCCTAAGTCTTGCAGCATTCCTTGCATTGGCTACATCTTTTCTACTTTCACCAATCACTCTCACGTTCGGGTAGCCGCCAACCTCTCCTTAGCAACCAGCCAAACACCCGGTCCATGCCCTTTTTCTGAAAACACATCGGAGGGTCCTCCCTGGACAGACTCCCTAGGCTCCACATCGTGTCGATTATTTTCTTCCACTTTAAACTGGGTCCCTATATCGCCTCAGGGTTCTGTTATCCAACTGGCTGTGAACCACCTTCTCTTAAGGAAAACCAGTCAGAGACGAATGGATTAATTAGCTGCTGACAGTTTCCTGGGCGGCCAGTAGGTTAGAAGGCAGAACGACTCCAGTTGGGAGCAAGTTCTACAAATCCTCGTCCAGTGCATCCTGAAGCCCTGCATAGGGTAGTAATTACACCCGCAACCCGCTTCTTGTCATAGAAGGGACTCTATTTCTGAAATCCTTCTTGTACTTTACTTATTGTTGAAGGGGAAACTCCAATTCGGCGAATTTCCTGTTTGAATCTCTGCCCTGGGCAGGAATGTAAGCTGGGACGTAGTACGCCCTTGGCGGACACTTTTTACCTTAAACGGGAGCTCCATCCTAGGAATTCCTCGAGCTTCATTTGACTAATCCAGTCCATTAAATAATACCGTTATTTTCAGACGAGGACCCCAATTTCACGGAGCAATTGTGTCCCCATTTCTAAATGAGACTCCATCCCAGTGCCGGGTACCCAATCCAGAAATACCTCCATTTCTAGGCGAAAGACCTAAACTAGATACACCCTCTAGCTCTAGTTAGGGACTTAGGTTCCGGGGTATCAGCTGAACACACAGCTTCAGACGGGGTCTCACAGAGATTATCTGTAGTGTCGAAGGGGATTCTAGTCCCAGAAAGCTAATGCGCCTTCAGTCCCAGGCTCCGGAGAGATAGTCCCAGGCCCAGATGTCCCCTCCTAGTCCCGGGAAGACTTTAAGTAAAGTCGGCCCAAATCTAGCAGCGCTATAAAAAAAAATCCGTGGGGCGGGGCGCAGGTCCATCACCACACCAGCCATTCCGCGGTGATAACTCCTTTGCCGCGTTTCTCCAGGCCCCGCCCCCACTGCCGACGCTAGCGGACCAGACTGCTCCTCCCGGCATGCATTGCCCGGAACCAGGCAAGTCCGGCGCCAAGCGCCGGGCCGGAACGGCCTTCCCGGAGTCCTTTGCGCGGCACCTGGTGACAAAATGGCTGCCCGAGGGAGACGGGCGGAGCCTCCGGGTCGGGAGGCGCCGGGCCCTGCGGGCGGCGTCGGCGGCAGCGGGAGTCGATGGGCTGAGTCGGGCCCCGGTACGTCGCCCGAGAGCGGGGACGATGAAGTGTCGGGAGCGGGCTCGAGCCCGGTGTCGGGCGGCGTGAACTTGTTCGCCAACGACGGCAGCTTCCTGGAGCTGTTCAAGCGGAAGATGGAGGAGGAGCAGCGGCAGCGGCAGGAAGAGCCGCCCCCGGGCCCGCCGCGACCTGACCAGCCGGCCGCCGCAGCGGGCCCCGGGGATCCGAAGAGGAAGGGCGGCCCGGGCCCCACGCTCAGCTTCGTAAGGAGCCGCGGGGGTGGGGGCGGGCGCCAGGGCCTGCCGTGGCTGGGGGAATCGGGGCTCGAGAAAGGATCGGGATCCAGATTCACCCTCCCGTCCCCATGAAGGGTCCGTTTGGATTACCCGCTGAAGATGCGGAATCAGGATTCCTGACGAGAGGTCTGGGGGCGGAGGTGGGGATCCTCAGAGCCTACCCTCGGGAACCGAGGAATTGCATTGGTAACAGAGCCCCCGGGATGGGGATACCAAGATACCAGGATTCTTGTGTGGGTGGTAAGCCTAACTTTGGATACTGGAATCGTCTCTCAGTATGGGTAAGGGGGCAAATTCAGGTCTGGATTCTGAATCGCTTACTGAGTGATCTTATGAGAAGTGATGACTTCCTTAAGTTTCATTCGTCCGGTGTTCATTTACTGAGCACCTTACTATTGTGCTAGCATGTACTAGGTGCTGGATGTGCCGTGGTGTACATGACAGACAAGATTTTGGAGCGTCTGGGGTGTCCTACCCCTATTTTCGCTATTTGTAAAAACGGACACATCACATCTGATGTGATGAGGATTCAGAGTGCAATCCTGGAAAAATGGTTATTAGCAGGAGGCCTGCCTTATGGAAGGGACTAAGCTAATAGTTCTCAATTGGTGACAATCACCTAACCCCCACCTTTGGCAAAACCTGTAGATATATTTAATTGTCAGAACAGGGGGAAGTATGATACTGATATCTATGAGTAGAGATGTTATCCTACAAAACACAGGAGATGGGGAGGGTTCATGGAGTAGGGGGGAGGATGTTGGGGGGGAGGTAAAGCGCCTCTCCCAGCAAAGAATGTTCCAGCTCAAAATGTCATTAGTGTGAGATGGAGAAATTCTAGGCTTAACAATTGGCACCTATATTGATGTTCAGCTCTGCGCTTTCTTTGGTGTTAAGATCAAGTCCCTGTGGTTTGGAGAAAACAGTGGTGAATTGAGAACCGATAAGGCGTCAAATTTCCTGGTGTGTTAAAAATGAGTGAGAATAGCCCCACCCTCTCAGATCACTTAATGCCTGGTTTTGGGATAGAGATGAGATGTTGGTAAAGCTTGTTGAAGCCCTGGACACAGGAAATCCTAGGTCAGTAGACAAAGATGGATGAGTGTGTGTAAATCCAGAGTAAAATTTCTGTTGGAGGAAGGAGAAGTGTTGAGTTTTATCTGCTGGTGTGAGGCCTGGGGGTGGAGATCCAGTGCCCCCTTGGTAGGTGGGAGTAGCAGTAATTGTCACTGCCTTTTGCATTGTTCATCAAGAGGCTGTTTAGGGAGCATCCTCAAAGAGGCCAGGTTAGATGCAGGGGACACAGTGTCTTTGGTGGTTAATTGAGGGTGCTGCTCTGTGGCTTAGAGCTACTTGACCCCCAAGTCCAGCTCCAGTGTTTGCTGCTACCATGACTGAGGGTAAAGGACCTTGCCTTCTCAAATACTGTTTCCTCATCTATAAAAGAAAGTGAAAGTCGATGATACATCCAAAGCACTTGGCACAGGGCATGGCATACAGTAAGTGCTCAATAAAGGGAGCTGTTGCTGCCTGTATGGTTCCTTCTAGGAAGGGTGAGGCTTTGGCATGGAGAGTGAGGTCAGAGCTGCTGGTCCCCACCCATGTAGGGATTTTTCTTGTTTTCTGGGAGGGCATCCCGGGGCCCAAGGACTGCCTGGGCAAAGTGGGCCCAGGGCAGGTGCTAAGAGTTGCATGTGCTCCTCTCTGATTGCTGCGCAGGTCGGCCGGCTGGCGGAGCTGGGCGTGGCGTCAGGACGGGCCACCAGGCCGGGCTAGGAAGGTGTAGTGGGCCTCAGCGCCGCCAAGGGCGGGCCCGACTCCTGTAACCGTTGCAGTCTTCTGTCCCTTCACCCAGGTGGGCAAGCGCAGAGGCGGGAACAAGCTAGCCCTCAAGACGGGAATAGTAGCCAAGAAGCAGAAGACGGAGGATGAGGTGAGCAGGCCGGGTATGGGGGGCCATCCCTTATAACCTCTGTGTCTGACCATCTAGCCCTGCCCCTCCCTGTCCAGCATCCAGGCCTTGGATGGGTGTACTGGGTGGGATAGGAGGGCTTTCAACAGCTTCCCAGGTAACTTGACCTTAATATGTTGATCTCAAACCCATGACCTTCAGGGTGACACTGGGGTGGGTCAGCTCTGGACAGTACTGACCCAGGTTCCTGGCCTCCTTGACATACCCTTCCCAACCACCTGTGTCTTTCCTCCCCCTCTCCCCCAACCTGCCACAGGTATTAACAAGTAAAGGTGATGCGTGGGCCAAGTACATGGCAGAGGTGAAAAAGTACAAAGCCCACCAGTGCGGCGATGATGATAAAACTCGGCCCCTGGTGAAATGACCCCCTTCCCCTGCCAGCCCACGGCCTGGGACTCTCTGCGATGTACATAACTATTTAATGCAGCGGCAGCGGAGGCGGCGGCGGCAGCGGCAGCCTTCCCCCGCAAGGACTTATACACAGAAGGAAACTGAGATGCTTTTCGCAGCCGCGGACAATTCTCCAGGACTCTTTTTTACCTGAGCACTTGCCTCCTGAGACTTCATAGAACAGTGGTTTACTGTCCCTTACTTTCCCACCTCTTTACTCTCTCTGGCTCTTTTCTTTCTGTCTTCCTATTCTCACCCTCCCCTCCCCTCAGCCATCACTTCTGGGAAGTAAAGAACTTGACTTAGTGCTGGAGATGTGTGCTTGGTTTGTTTCTTTGCTCGATCCAGCCTGAACCCTCCCCATTTGCTGGTACCACATCCATCAAAGCCTGAGGTTGGCCTAGTGAGGAGGTTTTGGAGGCCTGGGGACAGGGGCACATTCTCTCCTGTGGAGGTCCTCAAGCCCCATCTTTCTTCACCCTTGACTACAGCTCCCTGTTTCTCCTCATGTTTAGTTTCTCTTCACAGTCCCATTTTGACTGGGCCAAAACAACACACCCTGTTCCCTCAGCAGAAACTTACTGAGAACCTGCTTTGTGCCCAGGCTGTTGTAGGGCCTAGGGCCACAGCAGCAGAACAGGCCAGGCCCCCTGCCCTGGTAAAAGGAGTCGGACACAAAAGATGGAATGCTATTTTGGGAGGTGACTACTAGGAAGTACAGGATAGAGGGGCTATGGAGAGGAGGGTCTCTTTCACTGACATCTGATCAGAGTCTTAAGGGAGGTAGACTAAAGAAAGGTGTGAAGGTAACCTGGCCCTAGTGGGGAGTTTTTTCTTTTTTAAAAGATTTATTTTTATTCATTTATGCATACAAGAACTGGGGTGTAGACCAGAGGTGTAGACGGTGAGAGGATTCACCAGAGACAAGAATGGGGAGCAGAACAGGCAGATGTACTGAAATACACTGCTGAGAGGAGCAGCGGGGGAGACAAGAGAGGTCTGCTGTGCCATGTGGGTTAGTTCCATAGCTGGGGATCGAAGTCATGCAGCAGTGGCTGGCTATAGCTTGATAGCGCTGAAACTTTAACCCCTGTGCCACCAGGGAGGCCTAATGGGAAGCTTTGAAGAGGCCCACATGACTGGGCTGGACCCCAGGAGTGAGAGGTATATGGACCTTGTGGGCTAAGACGAGAATGTGGGACTTTGTTCTTAAGTTAGAAGACTCGGAGGCGGGAAAGGGGTTGAGCTAAGGAGCAACAGGATTTTTTTTTCTCTTAACAAGATCCTCTGAATAAAGTGAAGGGAAGATGTGTCTGGGCCATGGGTGTCTTGGGAGGGGTGAAGACTAGGATCTGGATTTTTTTTTTTAAAGATTTTTTTATGCATACAAGAACTGGGGTACAGGCCAGAGGTGTGGAAGGTGAGAGGATTCACCAGAGGCAGAGTGAGGAACAGAACAGGCGGATTGACTGAAATACACTGCTGAGGGGAGCAGTGAGTGAGTGAGGAGAGGTCTGCCGCACCATGTGGGTAGCTCCCTGGCCAGGGATTGAACTCATGTTGCAGTGGCTGCAGATAGCTTCATAGGTTGCGTCTTAACTCCTTGCGCCACCAGGGAGACCCTAGGATCTGGATTTTAGTGGGTTGTATACCAGACCAGGGGTACCTGCAATCCTTCCAGGGAGGCTGTAAAGGGACTATTTGTGTCATGCACCAGTGGAGAACACTGAATGGGAAAATCACTAAGCAGCACACCTGGAACCTCTGGAGGGCAGACAACTGTGGTCCTGAAAGAAGCTTGAGGTGGCACTGGCCTGATCTCTCAAAATTTGCCAGATCCACCCTGGGTGGGGGTGAGAGTAGTGGGGTGGGGTAGGGCCTCCCAAATCCTGATCATCAAAACAAAACTCCCTTCCCTAATGGAGCTGACATTCTAGATTGGAAAACACACAAAACAAAACAGTACATATGGGGGTTGTGGTGGGCGGAGTATGAAAGGATGATGGAGGAGAAGAGATGACAATTTAAATTGATTGGAGTTGGCCTCCCCAAAGTGACATTTGTTCTAAGTCCTGAAGGAGATGGGGCAGGCAGTGAAGATGGTCTAAGTATTATAGGCAGATGGAATAGTGGGTGCAAAGACCCTGAGCTGAAAGAGTAAGCAGACTTTGGAATGGGATATCTAATCCCATCATGCTTCCTAAACACAAGTAATACTTTTCTGGTTTATTTTCCACATCAGCTGGAATATCCCTTCTACTTTGGGGATGTTGAGCTGGCCCCGTTGTGACTTTAGCCTTGGGGATGGAGTGTTGGGGAGGAGACATAGGAAGCCAATGGAGCCACCCTTACCACCTCCCTCAAAACTGTCAGCAACATGCACAGATCTTTAAAAAGAAATAGGAGTAGGTCTCCTTGCAGCATCTCAGCCTCTATTCTGGAGTGTCAGGAGGCAGGAGGAACTGATGGAGTCCTGATACCTCCCTTCACTGCACTCACCAGTCTGACCTGGGCAAAATCTAAAGGAGAATCAAACTCAGGTTTTGGTGAATCACACAGCCCTGATTTCAAACTATTCTGTTGCCTGTTAGCTGTGGGATCTTGGGTAAGTGAGCCTTTTTGTGGCTCAGGTCTTCATTATGAAATAGGGATAAAATACAGAAGAAGTATCTCTAGAGTCCAGTTCTAAAGTAGGGGCAATGTTTAGTCAAGTTAACCTTGTCATTATTTGAAATAGCTGTCATTACTTCTCTGGGTGTAACACTTGTGTAGTGCTAGGGGGCTGACTTTGAGAAATGCTGACCTTTAAATGCCTGGGTGTAGTGTGATGAGAGGCCCAGACAAGAGGCTATTGTAAACAAAGACATTGGTCTCCCATTTCAGATTCACAGTTGGGAGACAACTCCTTGAGTTTGTTTTCTGCCCTCAGCACTTCTAGTCCAACCGAATTAAGTCTGTCGCTGTGCACAGGGCTGTTAGGAGAATTACATTTGAAAACCCTTAACAAGCAGTAGTGCTTAAGAAATTGGGGGAGGGTGGTGAGTGGAAGGGGGCTGTTTCTCTATTCACTCAAATCTACAAGGCAGGGAGAGAAATTTTCCATGACCACACGAGGGCTTATATAGGCAACCAGTGCCACTTTATTCTGCCCCGACTCCTCTCTTCCCCAGGCTCGGGCAGGGCCGTGGGAAACTTGATCTATTAAGATTTATGCGAGCATTAAATTCACTCCAGCAGCTCCTCTCGCTCACCACCTGATCCTTATCTGGGGCAGTCCTCAACCCTGCACAAAAGACTCCTACACTTTGCACCTCAGCCTGAAACTTAAAGGCCCAGTCCCAGCCGCGTAATATCACCGGTACCTTCTCCGTTTCCGTAGGAGGAGGAGGAGGAGAAGTGAGGGCTCCACGCTCGGAATTTGAGTCTCAGCATACCCCGCGAGCACCGCGACGCCGGCGCACTGCTGGACGGGATTTGTAGTTTCAGAGCCTATGTGCGCGAGAGAAGGCCACTGCGCATGCGTGGGCATCAACTTTCCGTATTTGCTTCGTAAGCCAATTTTCTGTTCCCATCCCAGCGAGCTGATGTGGGAATCCCGGGTGGTGTTCTTTAGAACTGTTCCCCGATTCTCGAAGTGGAATTTGGGGTTAGCTGACCCTCCCCAAGTCTCTGCCAGTGACCCGCAAAAGAGCTGATTTTTATGAATGAATGGAGAAGATAACATTGGCGATGTTAGGTGGGCTGAGAAGTCTGTTTCCCCACCTCCAGACTGGGGCAAAAAGTGACCTTGTAATCTCCAGAAATCAAAAAATCTCTCAGGACAAGGCTGTGTTTTCCTTTGGGATTAGACTCCAGTTGATTCAGTAAATATTGGTTTAGGGAGAGGCTGACTACAGTGAAGGGATGGCCTTAAGCCTTGTTGGGTAAAAGCCACATTAAAAAAAAAAGATTTATTTATTTATACATACAAGAACTGGAGTACAGGCCAGAGGTGCGGGGCTGGTGTGTGACAGGATTCACCAGAGACAGAGTGGGGAAGAGAAGAGGCGGATCTACTGAAGGGGAGCAGTGGGTGAGACAGGAGAGGTCTGCTGCCCCACGTGGGTCAACTCCCTGGCCGCGGATCGAACTCGTGCTGCAGTGGCCGGGGATAGCTTCATAGTGCTGAGACTTAACACCTTGCGCCACCAGGGAGGCCCCAAAGCTACATTTAAAAAGAATAAGGGTCTTTAAATAACAGGTAATTCTTAACTGGTATTATCTCTAACCCAGAAAGTATTCTTATATCCTGCTGACAAGTGGAAAACTAAAGCTTGGAGTGGCAGTTCATTCACCTGTTAGCAGGACTAGGAGGGGAAAACCTAAGTGCTTCAAATTCCCTAGTGCCTCCCTGCCCCATCGCTCTGCTCTTGAGAAAGGAAAGAGGTGCCCTACTTTGTCCTCAAACGGCTTAAGGCTCACGAAGATGTCTTTCTTCATGACTCTGCCCTTGCCTACCTAAAATTTCTGGACTGTTCCACCTCATTAAGCTTCAGGTAGGCAAAGGATTAGCTCTTTTGCTCCTGCATCTACATTATTAATTTCATTTTAAATAATTTTATATTCTCGTGGATTTTTTTTTCTGTATGCTTCACGACTTTGTGTGTCATCCTTGCGCAGGGGCCATGCTAATCTCTGTAATGTCCCAATTTTAGTATATATGCTGTCAAAGCACGCACTCTTGTGGGTTTTTTCATATCCTTCTGAAAACTATCAAGCAGTACTGGAAAATAAATGTGGGAAAACGTGGTAGAGGCTTCTGCAGGAACCCAGCCTATCAGGCATTCCATTTGTTTGGCTTTCCACTCTCTGTCTCTGGGGGAGAAAGTTCACCCCACATGCTCAGTCTCACTTTATTTGCGCGCACATATTGTACCCCAAATTACCCTCTGAATGGGGTTACGGAGACAGCTAGGAGGGAGTGACAAAGGCGCAGCTGGTTCTGGTTGGGCGTTCCCGAGAACACCGCACACTGAAAGTCCCCACGCGCCACCACACTTGTTTCCCAACGAAGAGCTGCTGTCAGGTCAGGGAGAGACGCTGAGAAAACGAGATGCTGGGAGGACTGGCGGGCCAGAAGGGCCAAGAGTCGCCAACTCTTCGGTCACGTGACCCTGTATTGGCGGGGCCAGAGTCTCCACCGTGCCAGGCCACGTGCGATGGTTGCTTCTTCTAATTGGCTCTGCTGGGCCAGTTTGAACGGTATACGGAAGCCGCGGCGGCTCATCCCCGGCCGCGTTTCTTTCTTTCTTTCTTTTTTTTTCCCAATTCCCTCTCTTTGGCTCCCTCCTTCCGCGCGAGTCTCTGGAGAAGCCACATCGCAAGGAGACGCTGCTGCCGCCCGGGGCTGGGTAAGTAGGCCTTACCCGGAGCCCGACTGGCCCGGCCCCGACTTGCGTCCACTCGTGCTGGGCTCCCGACCAGCGAGCGCCGCGCGGGGTCGGGGCGTCGGGACCGCGCCAGACCGGGAAAGGCCGAGGACCCAGTTGGGCCCCCGATTCGCAAGGCATCGAGAACCCGCCGGCGCGGGGGAGGGGGAAACCAGCCAGGCTGAGGGGGGTGGGGCCTCGGAGCCAGGCCAGGACCCGGTGCCGCGAGAGTTGGGCCAGCGTGGCGGCTGGGGTTGGGCTGAAGGGGATCTGATTGGGGGAAGCGTCTGGGGACTGTTTAGGGCCTGATGGGGGAACGTCTCGAGTAACGGGTGTGTGTATGTGGCTGTTTTATAGGGGCTTGGATGGGTCTGATTAGGGGAGGCTGCATTGAAAAGTTGGGGTGGGGGCTTGTTAAGCTCTGATAGGAAGGGGCGTCGGGTTTCGGCCTAGAGGGCTTTGCCGGTATCCGTTAGGGGAAATCCTGGGGGCGGGGAGGGGGGGCTTGTTTGGCCAGGTCTAATTGGGAGAAGCTGCAGAGATCGAACGAAGGGAGTTTACAGCACCAGGTGGTCGAGGGTTTGCCCTCACTTAATTGTGGGAAGCGGAGAGTTCCTGCGACTGGGGTGGATAAGGGAAGGCTTGGCCGGACCAGATTGGGGAAACAAGGGGGCCCGTCTAGGGGGCTTCTGTTGTAGGGTGGGCGGGCTTAGTTGGCTCTCATTCGAAGAGGACCTGTCTAGGGACTGCTTCGGCCTAATTAAGAGGACTCCTTTCTGGTCGAGTCTTGCTAGGCCAGAAAGGGAGGGAGTCTGGCATCCTGCTGAGCTTGGAGGGCCCGATTAGGAGAGGTGGTAGGGATGTGAACAGCTGGAGCGCCTTGGGACGGTGCACCTGGGGAGACTCAGGACAGAGGTCGACAGGGATCTGGTGGAGATTGAAGGCTAAATTTCGGGAGAAGGGAGATCTTTGGGTTTCGTGCAAACACCGAAGTGATAACGGGGGTCGGGGGCTATCGTGGTCTCGGGGAGGGACAGAATGGGCTTCGGTGGTAGGAAGGCTTGGTGCTGGGTCGGATGAGGATCCGCTGGGTCCTGCCACCCCCTTCCATGGCATGCTTCCACATACCCCCTGTTCGTGACGCTGATACCCAGACTGGTGCAGTTGACGGGGACCTCACTCTTGGGCAGGTGTGGATGGGCGGCCACTGCCTGTTCGCTGAGGGCGTCCCAATCTTTGGCCGCTGCTTCCATCTCCATGGGGTCTAAGCCCAGGTCTCACATGCAACCCTTGGGACCCAGTGCTGACCACGACTCCTACCCCCGCAGCTCGCCTTGCACCATGGACTGGCAGCCAGATGAGCAGGGGCTGCAGCAGGTCCTGCAGCTGCTCAAAGACTCGCAGTCACCCAACACAGCTACCCAACGCATCGTACAAGATGTATCCACCCTTCCTTCCTTCCGGGCTTGGGGGAACCCCGCAGACATCTGCAGCCCCTGAGAACCCGAGAGGGAGGGCCTGCTTCCTTGTCCCCAGACTCTACAGTCTAGGCTAATTGGTCTTGACAGAAAGTTAAGGATTAGAATTCTTGGACCCTTTTCCAAAGGAAAAGAGGCCCTGCAGGACATTGGCTGGCATTTGGGTTTTGTTTAAATTTCATGGTTAAAAATTTTTTTCAATTGTTTAAAACAAGTTAACCTTCAAAATAATTAAAACATTAGCAAATTTTGCTTGAAAATATGGATTCCCTCTTTCAAAAATCTCTTAAAAAAAGCAATCAAACTTGGACTGTTAGTGAGTGGAGTTAAGTAGCAGCTACCACCTGGGTGTGTCAACCCTCTTCTGTTTTGACCAGGTGTTCAGGAGCTGTGGGAAGCCCAGGCTTGCTCACACCACCCCTTCTCAGCCCACCAGTAAACTTGATGTGCTGGGGATACAGTGTTGTTCCAGGCATGGTGGTTGACAGGCTGGGTCTGGGAAACCTGGCTGCAGGATCCTAATAATCAGAAGTGCTGTTAGTCACATGATGTTGCTAGTGTGAGGGGAGGACCCATCTGGGGATGTCCCTGTCTCCCAAGTCCCTTAACAACCTGACAGAAACTCAAACAACTGAACCAGTTTCCAGACTTCAACAACTACCTGATCTTCGTCCTGACCAGACTCAAGTCGGAAGGTACGCCCTTCGTGCCCCTCCATGCAGGCTGGACTCTGCTTTCTTCCTCATTGTCCCCTGAGCATCAGCCCTCTTCCCCCAGATGAGCCGACTCGCTCTCTCAGTGGCCTCATCCTCAAGAACAACGTGAAGGCACATTACCAGAGCTTTCCGCCACCTGTGGCTGACTTCATCAAACAGGAATGTCTCAACAACATTGGTGACGCCTCCTCGCTCATCCGAGCCACCATAGGTGAGGGGGACAGTGGAGGGTTGCCTGTGATGACTCATTAAGAACTCATTCTTGGCCTAGAAAGCTTCTCAGCCAACTTTTTGGTTCAGCACAAGTGTTCCCGCACTGTGGGCAGTAGTACTATTACTTTTGCCATTTTACAGATGAGGAAACTGAGACACAGAGATGTTAAGGGTAAGTAGCAGAGCTCAGAAGTGGTCAGTGAATATCTGACCTTCATCTTCCCCAACAGCTCTCCTCACTTCTGACATTAGCACTCATTGACTCATTGTTCAGAATTGAAAGCTGGGAGTGAATGCAAAGGATGTGGTAGGTTACAATACAAGGAGCTGAGTGTCATTAGCTAATTCTTACCAATGGTGATTTAGATGAAACATTTATAAAGTTTTTCATGAGGCCTCCCTGTGGCCTACATGTTAAGTCTCAGCACTTTCACTGCTACAGCCTGAGTTTGATCCCTGGCCAGGGAGCTAACCCAATATGGTGCAGTTTTCCCTTCAGCATTTTCATTGCTGATAAATACCAACCCTATTTCTTCCAATTAAATTCCCCTCCCTCCCAGCGTTGAGATATAATTGACATACTTTTTTTTTCCTGTCAGCTTTCAACAGGAAATTGTGTAACAGTGGAAAGGGTTTTTTAAAAAGATTTATTTATTTATGCATACAAGAACAGGTACAGGCCAGAGGTGTGGGGGGTGGGGTGAGAAGATTCACCAGAGTGGGGAACAGAACAGGTGGATTGACTGAAATATACTGCTGAGGGGAGCAGTGAGTAAGGAGAGGTTTGCTGTGCCATGTGGGTAGCTCCTTGGCCGGGGATTGAACTCATGTTGCAGTGGCTGCAGATAGCTTCATAGGTTGCGTCTTAACCCCTAACGCCACCAGGGAGGCCCAAAAAAGACAGATTTGTTTGCCCTAAGTGGAAGGTAGTTTTAAAGACATGTAATTAAAAAAAACAAAACAAAACAGGATTAAATTTGAACTAAATGCTGAGAACTGCAGTGCTGATTAGGACCTGCTGCCTCTGTTAAAAGTGAACCTCACCGGCCCCTCCCTTGTGGCGCAGGGGTTAAAGTCTCAACCTTTTCAAGCTATCAAGCTATCACCAGCCACTGTAGCCAGGGAACTAACCCACATGGCGCAGCAGACCTCTCCTGTCTCGCCCTCTGCTCCCCTCAGCAGTATTTTACTAGATCCTCACTCTTTTTTTTTTTTTTAAACATTTATTTTATTTATTTGTTTTGTTTGTTTATTTATTTATACAAGCACTGGGTACAGTTAGAAGCATGGGAGGGTGAGAGAATTCACCAGAGCCAGACCGGGGAACAGAACAGGCAGAAGTACATTGAAGTACACTGCTGAGGGGAGCAGCGGGCGGCAGGAGAGGTCTGCATGCCATGTGGTACCCTCCTCCGGTGGCCAGGGAGCAGCTGGGGATCGAACCGGCGCTGCAGAGGCTGTGCGCAGCTTCGCAGCCCAGTGCTCAACCGCTGTGCCACCGGGGAGGCCCTAGATCCCCACTTTCTGGTGAATCCTCTCACCCTCCACACCTCTGGCCTACTCCCCAGTTCTTGTATGCATAAATAAATAAATAAAATAAATCTTTTAAAAAAAAAGTAAATCTTACCACCACCACCACCCACACCCCCAGGCCAGCAAATCATAGGATTTGGACTTAATGAACTCATTCTAGGTAAGTATGCTAAGTACTTGAGTTAAGTCCTTCAAGCTTCCTAATAGCCCCAGGAAGCTCCTTTATCCCTTCTGAGGCACAGAGAAGTCAAGTGATGTGGCCCACAGTCATAGACAGGGACAGCACTAGAACTGTATTGGTGCCCTCATGGACTACCCAATGTAGGGATCATTTTTCCCTGCAGTTGTGTGAGCTGGAGTTATCTGGAGTCTTGGCAGTGGCAGCTTGCTCCTGGGGAATACTGCCATATCTGACTAAATACCATCTCTGATACCACCTGTGTTCAACTCAACTGCTAGACCATCCCACTGCCCTCACACTTCAGATACGCACTGCAGGTTGCACTTGGGTTTCTAACAAACAGAACAAGTCCTCCTAGAGGCCATGTGGCCCTGGCCCTGCCACCTCCCACCCTCACGTCCCTTCCCTGTCTCCCTTACTCTCCATATAGCCCCACAGGCTCCTCATCCATCTGAGAATACATCAGGCCCACTCTAGCCCTGGACCTTTGCACCTATTTTGCCTGGGACTCTTCCTTAGGTGGTTTCTCCCATACTTCATTCACATCTCTGCTCAGATAGCAAGTTGTCTTCTGTGTAAGCCCTGCTCTGGACAGCTAATTAATAGTCAACACCTAATTAAAAATCTTCACTCACACTCTCAGCTTTTGCTAGCCATCTTCTATGTTTTATTTCCCCCCAGCTCTTGGCTTCTAGCCTCTCATGTCTCTAGTTGATTTATTTTTACCTCACAGCCTGCCTTATTACACAGTCAGCTCCCAAGGGCAGGAATGTTGTGTTATATTCTGTGCGGCATCCTAGGTCCTGGAATGAGCTGGCTCTCAAGGCTCAGAATGTCTCAAAGGGTGTGTAGGAATTCCATGGGGTAGCATGTAAGTAGGTGAAGTGAGTGTGAGCAGGGAGGCCAAGTTGCCAGGGAGACCCACATCCAAACTAAGAAGCGTCCTTTTTGGTTGCTCCAGGCATTCTTATCACCACCATAGCTTCTAAGGGTGAGCTACAGATGTGGCCCGAGCTGCTGCCCCAGCTGTGCAACCTGCTCAACTCAGAGGATTACAACACTTGTGAGGTAGGCAACAAGCTGGTGCCCACCTGAAAGAGTGAGCTGGAGCTGAGCCAGACTGGGACCCATACCTGTCTGCCTGCTCCTCTCCACTTAGGGAGCCTTTGGAGCCTTGCAGAAAATCTGTGAAGACTCCTCTGAGCTTCTGGATAGTGATGCCCTCAACCGGCCTCTCAACATTATGATCCCCAAGTTCCTGCAGTTCTTCAAGCACTGTAGCCCCAAGATCCGGTGGGTGTGGCTTCCCAGGAGTCTGCAGGGGGGCTGGAGTAGGTGAAGTAGGCAGGGGCTTGGATGACTTGTGTGCCCACTCCCCACTAGGTCCCATGCCATCGCCTGTGTGAACCAGTTCATCATGGACCGGGCCCAGGCACTGATGGACAACATTGATACCTTTATTGAGGTGGGTCCCTGGGCTATTGATGGGGGAGGGAGACGGTCCAAGGCCCTGCTGCTACTGACCCTGCCTTCCCCACAGCATCTGTTTGCTCTGGCCGTGGATGATGACCCTGAGGTGCGGAAGAATGTCTGCCGAGCCCTGGTGATGCTGCTGGAAGTGCGGATTGATCGGCTCATCCCCCACATGCACAGCATCATCCAGGTATGCATGCCGATGCTGAGACTGGAAAGGGGGGCAGATGGGGAGCCGCCCCCAGCTGGACGAGGCCTCAGTCTTTTTCCTACTCTCCCTAGTACATGCTACAGAGGACCCAGGACCATGATGAGAATGTTGCCCTTGAAGCCTGTGAATTCTGGCTGACGCTGGCCGAGCAGCCCATCTGCAAGGAAGTCCTGGCTTCCCACCTGGTCCAGTGAGTGCTGCTTCCTCCCTTAGGCCCACCCCAGACTGAGCCTTCCTTTCTGGTCACCTCCTGTGCTAGTCTCAGATTATGTGTCTAGCTCAGTGTGCTTTCTATCCTTGTTGCACTTATTTTATCAAGTACTAATAATGTAACTTGAATGACTTAAATATTAGGCAAAAATAGGTGGAAAAAATGGAATATCAGTAACAGCTCAGGCATAGCTGGATCTAAGTACTCAAAAAATGTGAAAGGCCTGTGCCCAGTCTCAGATCTATTTCCTGTGTCAGCTTCATTCTCAGACCTGACCTTTCTTCATGTAGTGCTATAGCCTTCCAACTTAGGCACCTTAGAGTAAAGAAATTCTCAGGTAGTATCCCCAGCAAAACCCCTGTGGCTTACTTACCTGTGACTCACCTTAAATCACTCAGTGTTGGATCACTGAGGGTATGTTCTTGGTCCCCCATATTCTTAGATGCCCTGCCTGATTTTTCCCCTAATCTGACCCCATCCAGGGAAGTGCCCAGTGACTAGATCACATGTCCCTAACTTCTGGCGTGCTAGAGTCAGGCACTTTTTCCAGTTTTCAGTGTATTAGGGCTGTTGGGAATTCACTGAGTAACCAGGCTATGTGTCAATTCTGTCATAATCATAGTAGCTAAGACTAGGTTGGGATAGCACTCCCATGGGGAATGAATGGATGCAAGACAAGCAGAATCTGACTGCTCTATAGTCTCTTCCTTGACTTTTTAACCTCCTACCTGCATCTGTTTCCATCTCACCTGGTCTTTGAACCCCACTCTGGACCTCTGCATCCTGATGAACAGCCTCTCCCAACAGGTTGATTCCTATACTGGTAAATGGGATGAAGTACTCAGAAATTGACATCATCCTGCTGAAGGTAAGTCAAGGCTAGTGGCCAGGCCTGGTTGAGCAGGCTAGGGCCTAGGCAGGCAAGCAAGTGTCTGGTGTCAGGGTCAGGGCCTGATGTTTTTTATGGTGCTCAATGTCTCTTTGGCCCTTAGGGGGATGTGGAGGAGGACGAGGCAGTTCCTGACAGCGAGCAGGACATCAAACCTCGCTTTCACAAGTCTCGCACAGTGACACTGCCCCATGAGGCTGAGCGGCCTGATGGCTCTGAGGACGCTGAGGATGATGATGATGATGATGCTTTGTCCGACTGGAATCTGAGTGTGTGCCCTGGTCTGGGGGAGTGGTCTAAGGGAGTGGGGGGACAGCATGCCCTGGGCTGTTTACCTTTTGTGATAAGTCTGCGCAGAGATGTGAAGATGTTAATCTCTGATCCTGGGGGTTTAATCAAGTGCCGGTGGCCTGCCTGTGGAGCTCCCTGAGCCAGCCCTCCATCAGCCCTCCATTCCCTCCCGCCCCAGGAAAGTGCTCAGCAGCAGCCCTGGATGTTCTGGCCAATGTCTTCCGGGAGGAACTTCTGCCCCACCTACTCCCCCTGCTCAAAGGTCTCCTCTTCCACCCTGAGTGGGTAGTCAAGGAGTCAGGCATCCTGGTGCTGGGTGCCATCGCAGAGGGTGAGTGCCCCCAACAACCTGGCTGCACCTGAACTCTGATGATGTAAGACTATTGGGCTGACCCAGACAGGGCTGCCTTGGGGTACAGCTGCACAGTACTGGTGACATCATTCCTAGGTTCTCTCCAGAGACCTACTCACTCCCTTCTAGGATTTGAATTTTCCCCTCAGTCCATGGGCCGGAAAGAAACCCTGAAATCTGCAAATGCAGGCCTACTCCTTAAATCGCCCAGGCAGGTATTTCTCTGAGGTTGTAAAGACAATTACAGATACAGCGACAGTACAGTTACTTTTTTTTTCTAAAGATTATTCATTTATGCATACAATAACTGGGGGACAGGCCAGAGGTGTGGGGGCTGAGAGGATTCACCAGAGACAGAGTGGGGAGCAGAACAGGCAGATTGACTGAAATACACTGCTAAAGGGAGCAGTGGGCGAGTCAGGAGAGGTCTGCTGTGCCATGTGTGTTAGCTTCCTGGCCAGGGATTGAACTTGTGCTGCAGTAGCTGTGGACTGCTTCATAGTGCTGATGCTTAACCCCTTGCGCCACCAGGGAGGCCCAGTACAGTCACTTTTGTAGTGGTTCCCTATAGCAGGTGGCCTGGTCTTGTGGGCTTACCACAACCTTATGGGCTGGGTTTCGTAGAATGGTAACCTGAGATCCAGTCAAGTATATCCATGGTGCAGCTGGGCTTTGAACCTACCCCAGACTGTTAGCCTGGCCTGCCAGAATCAGAAGTGGGTGGTGGTGTTCCCTTAAACTTAACGTGGTGTGCTGATACTGGTGTGGTTTTCCGGTCCTTTTGTCCCCTTGGGTGTACAGCTTGAATTACCAGAGGACTTTGTTTTTTATTTTATTTTTTTAAAGATCTATTCATTCATGCATATAAGAATTGGGGTACAGGCCAGATATGCAGGAGGGTGAGAGGATTCACCAGAGACAGAGCGGGGAACAGAATAGGCAGACTGACTGAAATACAGTGCTGAGGGGAGCAGTGGGCGAGACAGAAGAGGTCTGCCGTGCCATGTGGGATTCCCGCCTGTTGGCTGGGATCGAACCCGCGCTGCAGAGGCTGTGGATAGCCTCACCGCACTGTGCTCAATCGCCTGCACCACCAGGGAAGGCCTACCAGAGGACTTTAAATCTGTTATAGTTATTACCCATGACCATCTCAGCATCCAGCCCTGTCATAAAAAGTGTAGGTCTTAATCTGAAGACCTTTTTATTTATTTATGTATTTATTTATTTGAAAGATGCATTTATTTTTATACAAGAGCTGGACTACAGGCCAGAGGCGCAGGAGGGTGAGAGGATTCACCAGAGACAGAGCAGGGAACAGAACAGGCAGCTGACGAATTACACTGATGAGGGGAGTAGCAGGCGCAACAGGAGAGGTCTGCGGCACCATGTGGTATTCTCGCTGGCTCGCCGGGATCGATCCCGCACTGCCGAGACCGCGGACAGCTTCACAGCATGGTGCTCAACCCGCTGCGCCATCGGGGAGGCCCATATTTATTTATTTTTTAAAGATTTATTCATACATGAACTGGGGTGCAGGCCAAAGGTGTGCAGGGTGAGAGGATTCACTGGAGACAGAGTGGGGCGCAGAACAGGCAGACTGAGTGAAATACACTGCTAAGAGGAGCAGCGGGCGAGTCAGGAGAGGTCTGATGTGCCATGTGGGTTGCTCCCTGGCCGGGGATCGAACTGGTGCTGCAGTGGCTGTGGATAGCTTCATAGGTTGCATCTTAACCCCTTGCACCACCAGGGAGGCCCTGGAGACCTTTTAAAAATTGTCCAAAGAGGGGCCTCCCCAGTGGCACAGCGGTTGAGCGCTGGGTTGTGAAGCTGCCCGCAGCCTCTGCAGCGTCGGTTCAATCCCTGGCCGCCTACACGAGGGTCCCACATGGCGCACAGACCTTTCCTGCCACCCGCTGCTCCCCTCAGCAGTGTGCTTCGTCACTCTGTCTGTTCTGCTTTCTGCTCTGTCTCTGGTGAATTCTCTCACCCTCCCGCACTTCTGACTGTACCCAGTGATTGTATAAATAAATCAATCTTTAAAAAAAAAAATTGTCTAAGGAGAGGTTTCTTCATATAATTGGTATAACATAGCTTGCATTATGGGTGCTATGCCATGACACACACAATTTGTATATCAATAGAGACTGTCTTAGGTGTTCAGTGTGCTAATGGGAAAGAGCTTAAGGGATTGACTCTAAAATGGTAAAACTGGACTTAAGTTATCAGAAGTGTGCGATCATCTGTATTCTCTAAAAGAGCCATGTTGTGGTTTTAAAAAAAAAGGTGAAGAAGGAAAAATCTCAAATATCTGAGAAGGGTTTTAAAAAGAAATTACTTTCCTTTCATTGGGTCACTGCTGCCCATAAGTCCCTGTGCAGTTAAGGACATCTGAATATTTGAATGAGTGCCTGACTGATGTAACAGAAGCCCTGGGATGGCGTGGGTGGGAGGCATCAGAGGGGAAAGACTCTGCCACTTCCCATTCCGACCGTGCCTTTTACTGGCTCTGACTCTGAGCCAGTTATTTGATCTCAGAGCCCTTTAGTTTCCCCATATGTCAGATGCTTCAGTTGATTCCTCAGCAGGGTGGATGTGGCAGGCCCAACTAGCTCAGGCTTGCCCCTGTGCTGGTCCTTTCAGGTTGCATGCAGGGCATGGTGCCCTACCTGCCTGAGTTGATCCCACACCTCATCCAGTGCCTGTCAGACAAGAAGGCCCTCGTCCGGTCCATTGCCTGCTGGACGTTAAGCCGCTATGCCCACTGGGTGGTCAGCCAGCCGCCGGACATGCACCTCAAGCCCCTGATGACGGAGCTGCTGAAGCGCATCCTAGATGGCAACAAGAGGGTGCAGGAGGCAGCCTGCAGGTGACCCTCAACCCCTGGCTCACAGCCCCCATTTTCCCATGCTGGCTGTCCTCCGGGAAGTGATGACATTCATGTAACCCTGACCTCTTGGTGATTTCTCATGTATTCGTACTGGCTGATCCCGCACGCGCCTTTCTGATCCCTTCCTGCACCCAGCCCTTCCTGCTGCTGCCCACTGAGTCGCTCTCTTTCACCAGTGCCTTCGCCACCCTGGAGGAGGAGGCCTGCACAGAGCTGGTACCCTACCTCAGCTACATCCTGGACACCCTTGTCTTTGCCTTTGGCAAGTACCAGCACAAGAATCTGCTTATCCTCTATGATGCCATTGGTACCCTGGCTGACTCTGTGGGCCACCACCTCAACCAGCCGGTGAGACCTTTTAGAGACCCTTCCCAAACCCTATGCCCCTTAATACCCTGTGACCTGGTGGCAACCCTGTGTCACATGCCAGAGACATGGCCATGACCTCAACACCTCAACAAACAGACCTTGCCTTGCCCTGAGCCTACTCCGAGTCTAGCGGGAGACACAGTTATGAGATAGTGTGGTAAGTGCTGTGTCAGCGGAGCTCAGAGAACTGTGGGAACCAGGAGGCACTGAGGGAGTGGGAAAACAGACACAGGATGGATGAGAAGGGTGTGCATGGCAAGGATTTGCAGGGCTCCATGAGCCACTATGATGAGCCCAGACTACTCAGGTGACAGGTGCCTCAGAGTTGTAGAGGCCCCCACTTCCACCCAGGGAGTGCCAACTTCCCACTCCCCCTCCAGGAATACATCCAGAAGCTGATGCCTCCGCTGATCCAGAAGTGGAACGAGCTCAAGGATGAAGACAAGGACCTCTTCCCTTTGCTGGAGGTAGGTGAGCTCCAGGCCCGCTCCTGAAGCCCTGCCCTACCACATCTGAGTTCACCTCTCCTGCTCTCTTCCCCACCAGTGCCTGTCATCTGTGGCCACTGCCCTGCAGAGTGGCTTTCTGCCCTACTGTGAGCCTGTCTACCAGCGCTGTGTCACCCTGGTGCAGAAGACATTGGCCCAGGCTATGGTGAGCACCCACCTGACACTAAACTGCCGCCCACTGTGCCGCTGGCCTGGCCTGGTCCACTTCCCTCATCCACCTGCCCACTCCATCTGTGCGCAGATGTACACCCAGCACCCTGAGCAGTATGAGGCCCCCGACAAGGACTTCATGATTGTGGCACTGGACCTGCTCAGCGGCCTGGCCGAGGGCCTGGGTGGCCACGTGGAACAGCTAGTGGCCCGCAGCAACATCATGACACTGCTCTTCCAGTGCATGCAGGTGGGTGGGTGCCCTTGCAGACCTCTACTGGACAGTGACAGTACCGGGCAGCTGGTGCAGGCCACTCGGGGGTGAGGGGGGTGCTCAGGGCCCCAAGAGACTTTAGGAAAAAAGGGGCCTGTAAAAAACAACCCTTGTAATTATTTTACAAGGTGATCCGAACAATACATGAGTGAAATCCCACTGAGAAATGCAGATGATGTAGAAAACAAAAGTGGAAAACAGGAAATACAAACCATCCCTTGGATGTTACCCCAGCACCATCCCTGAAAGTGTATCAGAATGGTAGCAGTTATGTCTGCTCCCCTCTGCACAGTACTTGAGCAGGCATTCTTGTTACCTGAGTCCAATATGCACAGATGGGGTCGAAAGCCTTGGTGCTGGGAAGTGACAGGGTCAACTGTTGGTTGTGGCGAGGTATACCATCTCACACTGACTGGACTCTGACCCCCCAGGACTCGATGCCTGAGGTCCGACAGAGTTCCTTCGCCCTCTTGGGAGACCTCACCAAAGCCTGCTTCATCCATGTCAAGCCCTGTATCGGTATGACACCCTTCTTGTCCCTACCCCGTGAACCCAACCCTGGCCTCAGGTGATGATGAAAAATGACCAGGAAACACCGTGAACAAACTGGAATGCATTCGTACTGTCTGATGGGGCCTGCTGGGTCAGGTCTGGGACCTCATCCTGGCTGGCTGGCCTGCCTGCTCAGCACCATTCTTTCTCCCCACCAGCTGAGTTCATGCCCATCTTGGGCACCAACCTAAACCCTGAATTCATCTCTGTATGCAACAATGCCACCTGGGCCATTGGTGAGATCTGCATGCAGATGGGTGAGTGCCACTCAAGTAGACCTGTTCCTAACCTGGCTTTGACTGACTGGTCCCTGGTATCTTTGAGAAAGGCCCTGAACATTTTCTTCAGGGCTGGGCCCAGTGGCCAAAAGACCATTTGTGATTGACTTTTCCGAAGAGACTGGACAGAAAGCCTGTTGTGATTATATTTTTGAGAATTCCCCTCTTGTTGACTAAAAGGCACGCTGGGGTTGGTTGGGAGACCTTGGCTGCTTCCCCTGCCCACTTCCCCTCACATGGATTGCGGGGGAGAGTGGAGAGGGAGAATTTGGTCTCATCCTGTTGTTCAGCAGTACTCAAGGAAAGTTACTAGTGTTTAGGGTGTGTGGGTTAGTCTGGTTGGATCTTGGGCTGGGGGCCAGCCAGAGGTTTTTGTTCTGTTAATGTCATGGTTGTGGCCAATGTCTGGATGAAAGTGGGGGCCAAACAGTGAGATGGGACAGTTCCCCAGATTGGCCCCCATGCATGATGTGGGCTATGCTTGGCTCTGACTGGCTGGTCTCCCAGGGGCAGAGATGCAGCCCTATGTGCAGATGGTCCTCAACAATCTGGTGGAGATCATTAACCGGCCCAACACTCCGAAGACGCTGTTGGAAAACACAGGTGGGTGCCCAGACCTTGGCTGATGCCTGCTCTCCCTGTCCTGGAGATGGGGTTTCTGCTTGGGAGGGTAGTTGAAAAGGGCCTTGGGAAGAAACCAGGGAGGGCATCTGCAAGGGCTTCTGGGAAGAGCCCAAAGAAAGCTCCTGGCCTTGAGAGAGACCCAGGTAGCAGGAACTGTTCCCTTGGGCCCCATGGGGCGGGGCTGGTGCCTCAGAGAGGCCCCGCCATGTACCGTCCCGGGGCCGCTCGGGGTTGCAGGTCGCCTGACGAGTTCCTCTGCCATTCCAGCCATCACCATTGGCCGCCTGGGCTACGTGTGCCCACAGGAGGTGGCACCTATGCTGCAGCAGTTCATCCGGCCTTGGTGTGTGCCTACCTTTGTGAGGCCTGCTGTACGGTGGGCCAGGCAGTGGGGTGGGTGGGACAGGCCCTGCTGGTTCCCTCACCTGAGCCCACTGCCATGCCTAGATGCATGTCCCTACCCCACCACCTCCTTCTCCCCATGCCCTTGAGTTACATGTCCTGCGCCTGCCCCACTCCCTCTCCTCCCATAGATGTCCTTCCTGCTGTAGCCCTGCCAGTGGCTGATACCTCATTGTTCGCTTCCCCACAGGTGCACCTCCCTCAGGAACATCAGGGACAATGAGGAGAAGGACTCAGCCTTTCGAGGCATCTGCATGATGATAGGCGTCAACCCTGGGGGCGTTGTGCAGGTCAGGGCATCTGGGTTCTGAGGGAAGGCACTGGGACTGGGCTGGGGCGGCCCCTCACATGGGATCCATCATGTTTCAGGACTTTATTTTCTTCTGCGATGCTGTAGCCTCCTGGGTGAGCCCGAAGGATGACCTTCGGGACATGTTTTATAAGGTAAGCTTTCGCTTGTCCCTTATCTAGGCTTGGCAGGTGGTGAGAGCACCCCCTCTGGAGAGGGGAGGCCATGCTCATGTTACTCTGCTGGGGCATCCCCACCACAGATTCTCCATGGTTTCAAAGACCAAGTCGGGGAGGAGAATTGGCAGCAGTTCTCGGAGCAGTTCCCACCACTGCTCAAGGAGAGGCTGGCCGCCTTCTATGGGGTCTAGAAGAGCGTGGGGACCATCAGGTGAGGGGACCTTGTATGGGGGGAGGTGCCATGATGAGCGCCAAAAGGGTGCAAGCCCTGACCTTTTCTCTTCCCACAGGTTTCTGTGTCCTCGTAGGAGGGGTTGCTGGGGATCGCACTGCGTCCAGAAGTCGCCGAGCCCTGGTCGAGGGGGGTTAGGGAGGAGTGAGCGGGACCCAAATCCAGATGCCTTGCCTGTCCATCTACCTGCCTGGCCCAGCCTATGCGGATGGGCAGGTGGGTGGGGCCTCCATGCTCACCTACAAATGGGAGGGGGGGGTGGGACTTCTTGGCGGCAAGGGCCCCTTGCTCTCATTGGGGTTCACCTCAGGCAGCCCATTTGGACCAGCCAAGTGGGAGGGAAGAATCAACACAGCCAACTGAATCTGGCTTAGGATGAGGCAAGGGAAAGCAGGCGGGGAGGGGGGTCCTTGTAGACAAGTACACTCACACGTACACACGTGGTCACACGCATGTGTGGGCGCTGCAGCCAACCAGGCTGGGCCAGCTGCCCCACCATTTCCCCGACTGCATGGAGACAGTAGAATTAGTGAACCCCTGAGTTAACCTGTAAGGCCTTCCGTGTAACCTGCATCTAGAGTTTAAGAAGCTTCTGCTGTTTTGCGAGAATTGGCGGTGATTGGGGAGGGCTGGGTGGGTTGGGGGCCTCTGCAGGGACCCTAGGGCGGGGTGGGGGGAAGAGATCAGCCATCTTGGGGCTACCCAGTCAGCACGTGCACGCTTTGGATCTGCTCAGCACACTTCCTGCCAGCTCTGGCAGCCTCAGCCAGTGTGTCCCCTTCAATGTCCCGCCCTAGCCTGGAAAGTGGGGACCTCCAGAGTGGCTGGGTCTGCCCAGCGGGCACCCTTTCTCCCTCCCCTGTGCTCCAGCGGTTTTTGAAGACCCTGCGTGGGGGGCCTTTTTCCTGAAGAGACCTGGGGTGGCCACCTGAGTTGCTGATACCTACTTCTCTGTGACTTCTTCAGCAAATTTGTTTCAAGGGCAGTCTATTTCTCTGCTTCTGCAAACCCCCTTCTCAAGTTCCAGGCCTAAGTTTTAACACGAGGGTCAAGGCAGGGGCATTAAATTGATCAATGGCAGAAGACTAAGGTATAAGTTTTGCCAACAAGATGGAAACCGAGGACTTGGAAAAGGGAAAAAGGTCATGTAACTGCTGAATCCCAACTCTGGGCCTGGCACCCTGTTCATCCTAGCTTGCAGTGGGTCCCGGGACCCTGCCAGATTGGGGCAGTGAATCTAGAGAAACTTTGGGGATTGATTAGGGGGACTGAGTCATGATGGGAGAGTCTCCTAGAGAGGGAGGGGCTATGGCTACTTTGCAGTTGGTCTTAAAACTGAAACCTGACCCTGTAGGCCTCCTTATATTTTCCTTTTTCTCTTACTTTCTACTTTGCGGGGCCCTTTTGGCATCTTGTGTGTGTGGGGGGGTTTGACAGGAGTCCTGTTTTCTGGGACCTTCTCCAACCATCCTCTGGGGCCCTGGATTTCACCCCCATTAGCCCTGTATCTTCTCAGACAGGGTCAGACCCTGCTTCTGTGCCCAGGGGCACTTGGTACACATTCCATAAGCACAGTTTTTCCCCCTGTGAAACTCCAGCAGGTCCTCTGGGAACCATTTGTTAAAAAAAAATTGTTTAATTTTCTGGTAATTCCAGTTCTTTGGAGCAGCCTCTGCTGGAACTTGGGGTTTGTGGATGGGTCTGATGGGATTGGTAATACCCTTTCTTCACCCAGGATTTTTTTTTTTGGGGGGGGGGGTTCAAGCCACCTTCAGGGAATGGAAGGAGAGAGCCTGGTTCTAGTTTTTTTTTTTTTTTTTTAAAGAGATCTATTTAATTTTTTAATTTATTTTTGGTTGATTTTTGCACAACGAAGTTTCAACTTCTCAATCTTCTCCCCTGCCCGGGGCTGCAGACCCTAACTGGCCTGGATCTGCAGTCCCTCTCACCCTGTTTACCACATCTCCCTGTACCCCTTCCCCTCCTCTCCACGGGCTCCGGGGTCTGTCCATTTGTTACTGTGCTGTGCTGGGGATTGGTGCTGAGATGGTGTGGTGAGATTCCACTTGTGTAGAACTTTGTTGAGTAAAGATCAGTTTCTTGTGAAACCCTTGGTCTCCATCTGGCCTGCTATGTCTACGGCTTTGACAGAAGAGGGGGGAGCCTGGGAAGCTTTAGAAATGGGGATGCATAGGACTCAGACCAGGAAAATTGGGGGAATGGGGAAGTAAGCAGGCACTAACCAGGCGCATTTCTTGGAAACCCAAAGCCTCTCAATTCCCTGTAAAATGCAAAGGTGAACCTGAAAGGCAAAGATTAAATGTGATAACATGCAGTGTGTTCTCTGTAGCATAATCACAGCTCATTAAACATCCTGAACTCACTAGAGGGAACTCAGCCATTAGCCTTACAGCTCAGGTTTATGAACCCCCATCTGCCAGATTCTGAATTGAGTGGTAACAGTTCTGTCATCATTGACTGATCTTGCAAGTCTGGATTGTTGTAGTTTTTGTAGAAGACTCAGCCCAGTGCTCGACCTGGGGGCGGGGGATGTTGGCGGGGTGTGTGTGTGTGTGTATGGGTGAGTTACTGTGCAAATGAGGAATTGGTCAGCTCTGGGATGTGCAAGGCTCAGTACTGCCCAAGGATCATCTATCTGGAAAACGAAAAAATTGACACCCAAACTTCATGCAGCTGTGTGCATTTTAGTAGGGGCCCCAGAGAAAGAGGACAATGGCATGTCCCATGGACAACGGTATAGCAGGGAGTGTAGAGAAAAGGTGTGGTGGGCACATGAGAGAATGGTCACAGTCATGGCAGGGTACTCCAGGAAGGTCTCACTGTCGGGATGGTGTTTGAGTGAAGAGCCATCAGAAGAATCAACCGGAGGGAAAGAGGCAGGTATTCAAGAATTACGGATTAACACAACATGGTTCAAAATAGGTTTTCAGTAAATAAGATCAATACGATTTTAGGTAAGTTAGTTTGTGGCCTCTACAGTGTATTTCTGGCTCTGAAGGAGAAAGGCATTGGAGTCACCAGTGTCACAGGCTGCCAAATTGGAAAAGGAACTTTGCATTTCGATAGTGCCGCGTTTTTCAAACCGGGAGCACTACCAAATACATGTTTTAAAAAACGCAGAAGGGCCTCCCTGGTGGCGCAGGGTTTAAAGAAAGCACTATCAAGCTATCTGCAGCCACTGCAGCACAAGTTCCATCACCGGCCAGGGAGCAACCCACATGGCACGGCAGACCTCTCCTGTCTCGCCTGCTGCTCCCCTCAGCAGTGTTCGTCAGTAGCCCCGCCGGTTCTGCTCCCCACTCTCACTGCCCCCCCACCTCTGGCCTGTACCCAGTTCTTGTATGCATAAATAATATTTTTTACAAATAAAGGCAGGAGCCAGGGACATGAGTTCAGCAAAAGGACGTTGCAAAATCAGACCCCTCCAACTAGCGGGAATTGGGTAACACGCTAGTTTCCACGAGGGCACCTCACTTCCGGCGGGAGTGTAGCATCATCAGCTAGCGCCGGAAGTATCCTCGCGCTACCTAGGAGACAGGACGCGGGGGCCCTCAGCTGACAGGGCCGGTCAGGGCCGCACCCACCGGTCGCCATGGAGCTACCCCCAGGGCCGCGCGACTATCCCCGCGCTTGGGACGATGACTCCGACTCGGAGCCAGAGCCTGACCCCGACTCGCAGGCCGAGGCTTACGTGGCCCGTGTTCTCACTCCGCCGCAACTCGGACTGGCGCCGCCGCGCGCCCCTCCACTGTCAGCTCCTGCCGCATCGCCTGGAGCCTTGGAGACTCGGGCCGCATCCAAGGGCCCGGTCATGGGCGTCCCGGGCCTGCTGAGTCTTCCCCCGGAGCTGCTGCTCGAAATCTGCGCCTACCTGGACGCACGCCTCGTGCTCCACGTCCTGCCGCGCGTGTGCCACGCGCTGCGCGACCTCGTGCGTGACCATGTCACCTGGAGGCTACGTGCGCAGCGACGTGTACGCGCGCCCTATCCAGTGGTGGAAGGTGCGCAAGCTTGGGGGCTGGGGTTCACCCAAGTCAGGCTTGGGGCAGAAAAGGGGGTGCTGTGAGCACAGCTTTTGGAGCAGGCTCTGGCTGTCCTGGCTCTGATAGGCACCTGAGGTAGTTACTGGTGGGGGCAAAGCTCCTCACCTCTGGTTGGACCATGAGACAGGCACTTGTGGTCCTGAGGCTGAGGCAGTCTGTGTGGGAGCTGGGGTCTCTCAACTCAGGATCTAAAGTATCCAAGGTTCTCAGGCTTGAGTTCTGGTGGTACTAAGACCTTGACTCCTGCCTGGTGTTTGATACGGAGACTTGAAGTCTCAGGCTGTCAGAATCTATGCTAGGGGCTTAGGTTAAACCCAAGACTACTCAAACTCTTATGTCTAACCTAGATGCTGAGGTAGCAATTGGTGAGCCTCAAAACCCTTGAACCTAGGCTGATGTTTAGAGGTTGGGATACCTGATGCCAGCAATACACATCTGATTCTCAAGTATCCCGGAATTTTAGGCAGTAGCCAGTAGCCTAGGCAGGGATGGAGGGAGGAGGGGGAAAGAGAACTTGGGGAACTTGAACTGTTTGGGCTTTCTTGAATAGCTTAATGCTTGGGCCACATTTCTAACACTGAATCTCTGCACTCAATACTTGGGTTCTATACCTTGGCAAAGCTCTCTGGTTTACAGATACTAGTTTGAGAAGCACTTCCCTGGATCCAGTTAAGATGACTGAGGCAGGAAGTATTGGTTAATGAAGTTCTAGCTTGAGGATTGAGGGCTGAGGCTGGACCTCAGTAAGGAGTTGGAGGAGAACTTAACATCATGAGGTTGATATCCCCCTGGCTTGGGTGACCCTGAGGCTCCAATTCCCCAGTTTCTGGAAACAGAAATTGGTGAGAATTAATCAGATCTACTTGGAGGTAGTTGGGCTAGTGGTCCCAAAGCCAGAAGCTGGTCCTCCTTAGGGGAGTGGGAGGGATACAGGTAGGCCTATCTTCTAAGACTGTTGCAGTTTGTACTCCCTGGAAGCCAGAGATGGGCTTAGACAGTGTGGGTGGCAGGGTTCCTGCCATCTGGGAACCCTGCTCATGGTGCCCCACAGAGGAGGACTTTGACTGGCCAGCGGCATGCATTGAGCTAGAGCAGCACCTGTCACGCTGGGCAGAGGATGGACGCTGGGCTGAGTATTTCTGCCTGGCCGATGGGCACTTTGCTTCCATTGACTCCGTGCTGCTGCTCCAGGTGAGGCAGGAATTGGGGGAGGGGGTTAGGTGAGGGTGGGCCAGGGTAAGCCTGACAACATCCCCTTACTCCCTTCCCAGGGTGGGACCCTGTGTCTGTCAGGTTCCCGAGATCGCAATGTCAATCTGTGGGACCTGCGACAGTTGGGGGCAGAGCCCAGTCGGGTCCTGGTCAAGGCCCTGGGCTCCCAGCAGAACAGCACCCACAAGGTAAGGGCCAGGTAGGAGACACGAGGTCTGGGAGGGACTCTGGCTAAGTGCATGGGTTTGGGCACCAGGTCTGACAGGTTTAAATCTAGCTCTGCTATTGTTGGTGTGATGTGTGACTTTTTTTGGCCTCACTTTCTCTTTCTGTCCAGGGGGCACTTAGTATGAGGATGAATGAAATGAACATGCATCTTTTTTTTTTTTTTAAAGATTTGTTTATTTATGCATACAAGAGCTGAGGTACAGACCAGAGATGCGAGGGGTGAGAGGATACACCAGAGACAGAGCGGGGAACAGAACAGGCAGACTGACTGAAATACACGGCTGAGGGGAGCAGTGGGTGAGACAGGAAAGGTCTGTGGCCCTCGGGGATCAAACCGGCACTGCAGAGGCTGCGGACAGCTTCACAGTGCTGCGCTCAACCGCCCGTGCCACCAGGGAGGCCCGAGGCCCCATTCTTTCTTTCTTTTTTTTTTTTTTTTAAAGATTTATTCATTGTGCATACAGGAGCTGGGGTACAGGCCAGAGATGGGGGGGGGGGTAAGAGGACTTGCCAGAGACAGAGTGGGGAACAGAACAGGCAGATTGACTGAAATACACTGCTGAGGGGAGCAGCGGGCAGTCAGGAGAGGTCTGCTGCGCCATGTGGGTTGTTCCCTGGCCTCCTGGGGATTGAACTCGTGCTGCAGAGGCTGCAGGTTCCTTCATAGTGTGGTGCTTAACCCCTTGCACCACTAGGGAGGCTGAGGCCCCATTCTTAATCATATTACTATCTGACCTTAAACCACCATTGGTACTTAATTTAGAAACATTATTGGGTGGTAGTGCAAATGTCCTAGTCTTTAAAGTCAGACAGACCCACTGACCTAAGCTCTAATTTATACTGCCTACTTGTTCTGTCTTCTGGGTACAGTTGTCTTCCTCCTTAGACTCTGTTTTGTTTCTTGTGAAATGGGAATGATCACAAGGGTCCCATCCACAGGGCTGGGTGTGGTCTTTGGCAGCGCTGGACCATCGAGTGTGCTCTGGTTCCTGGGACAGCACGGTGAAACTCTGGGACATGGCAGCAGATGGGCAGCAGTTTGGTGAGATAAAGTATGAGGGGTCCTGGACAGGGGGATCCTGGAGAACAGGGCCCTGTCTGACTCCAGCCCCAGCACTGTGGTCCCTATGTCCCCAGGGGCAAGGCAGCTGTTCTGTGCTTGTCCTACCGGCCTGACATCTTGGTGACGGGCACCTATGACAAGAAGGTGACAATCTACGACCCCAGAGGTGGGCCAGGGCTCTCGGGCACCAGGTGGGGAGAGCAGCGCTGCTTGGGGGCTGCAGGGTCATGCTTATAAAGGGGATGGTTGAGACTCACAGCCTAGCCAGGGTGACAGTCACATAGCCCATACTGCGCAATGAGTGTCTGGTACTGTGTGTAGGGGTAGAGTTTGGGGAATGGGACTGAGTGGTGATAGGAATGGGACTGGTGGGTAAGGAACATGGAGGACTCTCAGAGGAGGGGCCTCTGAGCCTGAAGCTTTGGGTAGGACACATAGCCCTGGAGGTGGTTAGAATCCTGACTCGTTTCCCCATCTGTAAAATCTTAACAACTCCAGTCCCATGTGGTTAATGGGATATGACATAAAACATCGTGGGTTAAATAAGTTTGTTTACATAAAATCCCCTAGAACAAAAGAACACTGCCAGGTATATGTCTTTTCTGTTATTTATTTGTTCTTATTTTGTTTAATTGAAGTAGTGCCCTTAGTCAGACAGCTAGGGGTAGTGTTTGGGTGGGTGTGGGGAGCTTGTCTAGGTGGACCCTTGAGCTGACTAGGTGGTTTGTGCTGGGATCTGCCAAAGTCTGGTCACTCTGATCTGAATTGAGAATAGACGTGACTGGAGCAGATGGAGGGCACAGGTTTTGTGGTCCTGGGAGACTGGATCCAGCTGGGGTGAGGAGAGACTATATTCTGCAGGATGGGGGTGGAGGGGCATTTGGGAGAAGCAGATGGAAAGTTTTGTCAGGTACAATGGAGGCCCAGAATTCTCAGTGGTGGAGGCTGTGATGTCGCCCCATCCTGCCCATTGTCCACAAAGCCGGCCCGGTCCTGCTGAAGAGCCGGCGGCTGCACTCTAGTGCTGTGCTGGCGCTGCTGGCGGACGACCGGCACATCATCTCGGGCAGCGAGGATCACACCCTTGTAGTGTTTGACCGCCGGACCAACAGCGTCCTGCAGCGGCTGCAGGTGGGCTCTCCTTTGGAACCCTTTGGGACCAGGGCTTCTGTGTGGCTAGGCCCAGCCTGAGCTGCTTCAACCCATGTCCCTTCCACAGCTGGACTCCTACCTGCTTTGCATGTCCTACCAGGAGCCCCAACTCTGGGCTGGAGACAACCAGGGCTTGCTGCACGTATTTGCCAATCGTGATGGCTCCTTCCAGCTTGTCCGGGTCTGCCAGGGCCCTGCCTGTCTCTCCTTGGCCCTTTGATACCAGGGTGGTGGTGGTGGTGGTGGGGCTGGCCCTGAGAGCCATGCCTGAGTGTTTCTTGTCCCTCCCTCCTGCAGTCCTTTGATGTGGGCCACAGATCTCAGATCACAGGGATCAAGCACTCACTGGGGGCTTTGTATACCACGTCCACTGATAAGAGCATCCGGGTAAGACCCCTGGATTGGCCATATCCATACCCCACCCCCACAGTTGGAGGTCCTGACCTTCACTCTTTGCTTCTCACTAGATACATGTGCCCACAGACCCACCAAGGACCATCTGTACTCGAAGCCACCACAATGTGCTGAATGGGGTAAGGCCCTGCCCTCTGTGCCTTGCTCAGCTGCCCAGAGTGCCCCTGACTCCTGGTGTCCTTCCCTTCACAGATATGTGCTGAGGGCAATCTGGTGGTGGCTGCCTCTGGGGGCCTGTCACTGGAAGTCTGGAGGCTGCAGGCCTGAGCTGATGGAGTGGATGTGGATCTGCCTGCTGGCTGACTGATCCTCAGGCTTTGTTCTCAGGGGAAACCTCCCCAATGTTGGTGCTGCCTCTGCCTGCCCACATAGGCCTAGGACACAAGAAGTCTGTACCATGGTGGGGCAGGGTCCCAGGCCACAGGAGGGGAGGTTGGTGTTGTGTCCCCCCGCCCAGAGGACTGCTCCCCTGCTTTGGGGCCCTGTATTATGATTCGGATTCCTGCTTTCTGTTGAGTGGGAAGGAGAAATAAACCTTATATGTTGGTGCTCTGGTCTTCCCCAAGGATGCTGCCTGAGTCTGCTTGGGCTGGGATCTGGGGACTCATTTGTGACTGTGTCTCAGCAGCTTCTGAGATAGTCATGGCTATGTCTAGGCGTACCTGTGCCCATCTAAGAGCATTTCTGCAGCTGAGCGTGTCACCTGGGAGATGGGTTTGGAGGTGGGTTTGGGGTAACCCTGCATGTATATGCATGTCTGTGCATTTGAGGTAGGTGTGTATAAGGAAGGGTGAGATTATCACATGTGGGTACCTGTTTGCATTATGGTGTCTGAATGATCATATGTGGGTATGTGACGAGTAAACAGGGACTCTGACCTGAGCTATGTTTTGGCAGTGTGAGAGGGGACTTGCTAATGCCACCCCCTAGGTGCAGGGCTGTGTTCTTCCTTGGACAGCCCAGGTCATGTGTGCCACTATGGCCATGACCCTGAGTGGGTGGGAAGGGAGGCTGGACTAAGTGTATACTTGACTCCCACAAGCATGCACTCCCCCCTGTGCCCTCTATGCTCCCCATTGTAGCCCAGCTGAGCCATGCCCTGGAGAGATTCACTTCATGTTTATTGAGGTCCCCTGGGTCATCAAGGTCACAGGATGGCACAGGGCTTCTTCTCCTTGAAGGGGTTGGTGGCAGCAGGGATGCCCACAAGGAAGGGATCGCTCTTGGCCTGCTCTGTGCAGAACTGCAGCAGATCAGCAGCCGCCTTGGATACCTGCAGGGCAGCCCAGTTAGTCAGAGCCCAGCTTATCCACCTGATCTCCGACCCAAGCATGCCCACCTTACCCCAGCCCTCACCTTTACTCGGTCGATGCCTGCCTCCATCCGCAGCTGTTCCACAGCCCGCCGGGCCTGCCCGATGTCAGTCCCAATGGCCACCTTGCCAGACATCTGGAGGAGGGTAAGCATGTCCATAGGCAGTGGGTTTGACCCCAGACCCCAAGCCTCAAGGTTACCTGAGGTCCCTGTATGTCCCCTGTGTCTCCTGGGGACTGTGGGATGGGGGTGGCTGCTCCCCAACCCCCATCAGGACCACATACCTCAGCTGAGGACTCGACCTGACTGCTCAGTCCTCCAGCGGCGCTGCTCTTGCTCTGGCTCCCTCCACTCACTGGCCTGGCCTCTCCAACCCCCTCCAGTGTCCTTCCCCAACCCCTGTGGAGACTTTGAAGCCAGGATGCTCATGGAGCGAAATGTCACCAGTGGCAGCAGCAGCTGCCTTAGTGGAGGGGGCCCCTGTCCCAAGGGGCCGGGTGCTGCCCTGTTGTCACATGGCACCTGGGTCCCTGCAGGCTGAAAGATTTGGCTGGGGGTATGGGGGGACCCTGGTATGACCCTTGATTTCTGCTAAGCCCACCACTCCTCTTTTGCCAGTTTCTTTGTCCCCCAATATACAGAGTTTTCTCCAGACTCCAGCCCTGTCACTCCTGTCAGTCTATATTCAGCACCCCCAGGGGATTTCATCTACAAATGATAGTCCACATGCTTATGCTGATGGTTTCCAGTGTCCCCATCCTACCCATTCTCTGACCTCAAAACTCCAAGGATCTTTCTGCCTCCTGTGATGGTCCATCACATCTGTCTCCTCAAATTCAGCCAAAGCTGGACTCTGAATCATCTTCCTCCTAGATCTTCTGTTCCCAAGTTCACCACCATCAACCCAATTGCCCTGGCCCAAATCTTGAACTCTTTCATTCTTCTCTTTCTGTGTCCCTACATCTAATCATTCTCAAGAGTCATCAGCTCAACTTTCAAATTAGGTTCTCAAGTTGGTCACTTCTTTCTACCATGTTGGTACTACCTGGTCCCATGCCATCTCTACTCCCTGGACCAGTGTGCCCTCCTTGCCTTGGTCTCCCCTGTCCTTCTACTTCCCTGCACCTGCTCTCCCCAAAGCAGCCATGGAATCTGTTAAAAATAAATCTGATTATGGGGACTCCCTGGTGGACGAGCGGTTAAGTCACAGCACTATGAAGCTATCAGCAGCCACTGCAGCACAAGTTCGATCCCTGGCCAGGGAGCTAGCCACATGGCACAGCAGACCTCTCCTGGCTCTCCCACTGCAGTGTATTTCAGTAGATCTGCCTGTTCTGTTCCCCACTCTGTATCTGGTGAATCCTCTCTCCCCCCACACCTCTGGCCTGTACCCCAGTTCTTGTATGCATAAATAAATCTTAAAAAAAATCCAATTACAGGGCCACCCCTGGTAGCGCAGCGGTTGAGCGCTGGGCTGAGATGCTGCCCGCAGCCTCTGTAATGCTGGTTCGATCCCCGGCCGCCGGCGAGGGTCCCACATGGCTCGACAGACCTCTCCTGCCACCCGCTGCTCCCCTCAGCAGTGTATTTCGTCACTCTGCCTGTTCTGTTCCCTGTTCTGGCTCTGGTGAATTCTCTCACCCTCCCGCGCTTCTGACTGTACCTAGTGCTTGTATAAATCAATCAATCAATCAATCTTTTATTTAAAAAAAAACAACAACCCGATTACAGGGCCTCTCCTGGTGGCGCAGGCAGTTGAGCGCCGCGCTGTGAAGCTGTCTGCAGCCTCTGCAGCACCGGTTCGATCCCAGCTGGCCTGTGTGGGTCCCACATGGCGCAGCAGACCTCTCCTGTCGTGCCTGCTGATCCCCTCAGCAGTGTATTTCATCACTCTGCCTGTTCTGTTCCCCTCTCTGTCTCTGGTGAATCTTCTCACCCTCCTGCGCATCTGGCCTGCAGAGGCTGCTGATAGCTTCATAGTGCTGCATCTTCACCCCTTGCACTCCCAGGGAGGCCTCTCTCAGTGCTCTTTTTTTTTTTTTTTTTTTTAAAGATTTATAAAGCACTAGGTACAGTCAGAAGCGCGGGAGGGTGAGAGAATCCACCAGAGCCAGAGCGGGGAGCAGAGCAGGCAGAAGGACCGAAGCACACCGCTGAGGGGAGCAGCGGGCGGCAGGAGAGGTCTGCGGCAGGAGAGGTCTGCGGCAGGAGAGGTCTGCGGCAGGAGAGGTCTGCGGCAGGAGAGGTCTGCGCGCCACGTGGGACCCTCCTCTGGTGGCCGGGGAGCAGCTGGGGATTGAACCGGCGCTGCAGAGGCTACGGGCGGCTTCGCAACCCAGCGCTCAACCGCTGTGCCACCAGGGAGGCCCTCTCAGTGCTCTTTTAAAACTCCCTGATGGGGCCTCCCCTGGTGGCGCAGCAGTTCAGTGCTGGGCTGCTAAGCTGCCCACAGCCTCTGCAGCGACAGCTTGATCCCCAGCCACCGGCGAGGGTCCCACATGGTGCGTAGAGCTCTCCTGCCGCACCCGCTGCTCCCCTCAGCAGTGTGTTTCATCAGTCTGCCTGTTCTGCTGCCCGCTATGGCTCTGGTGAATTCTCTCACCCTCCTGCACTTCTGACTGTACCCAGTGCTTGTATGGATAAATAAATAAATCTTAAAAAAACAAAACTAAACAACTCTCTGATGGTTTCCCAACCTGTTAGCATCAACCCACCTTCCTTACAACAGTTCACAGGACCCTGACCATTTTGGCATCTTCTGCCCTCTGAATCCATTTATCAACCTCTCTTTAACTTCATTCCTTTTGGATTACCCTAATCACCTTGTGTATGTTTGTTCATTTAGCATCTATACCGGCATGCCACCACTGAGCACAGTAAAAAGAACAGCAGGGGCCTCCCTAGTGGCCTAGGGGTTAAGTCTCAGTGCTATCACTGTGATGACCTAAGTTAGATCCCCCACCAGGGAGATCCCACATGGCTCAGCAGATTTCTCCTGTCTGGCTCTCTGCTTCCCTTAGCAGTATATTTTGTAAATCCCTGTTCTGCTCCCCACTCTGTTTCAGGTGAATCCTCTCTTGCCCTGTACCTCTTGCTTAGCTCTTCCATGCATTAAAAAAATAAGTAAATCTTCAAACAAACAAACAGCAGTAAGACCAGATAACCCTGCCCTCACAAAGCTGCTGCCATTTCTAACCAGGGAGGAATGGACAATAACAAATTTATTAAGTGCCGTGAAAGATAACAAAAAAGAAGGTAAAGTTGAGAGGGTAGTCAAGGTCTGTCTTTTGGAGGAGGTGACATTTGGACTGGGGCCCAGAAAAGGAGCTGGAACAGGGTGTGTTCCTGGCAGAGAGCCGCAGGCAGATGCATCATCCAATCACAAAGCTGAAGTCTGTAGAAACATTTTTTAAAAAAGATCCATTTATTTATGCATAGAAGAACTGGGGTACAGGGCAGAGGTGCAGGGGGGCGGGGGTGAAAGGATTCACCAGAGACAGAGTGGGGAACAGAACAGGCAGAGTGACCGAAACACACTGCTGAGGGGAGCAGTGGGTGAGCCAGGAGAGGTCTGCTGCGCCATGTAGGCAGTTCCCTGACCAGGATTGAACTCATTGCAGTGGCTTCGAGCCAGCCTCACAGGCTGTGTCCCAACCCCTGGTGCCACCAGGGAGGCCCTGTGAAACCATTTTTAAGGTGGAGCCAGCTAGGTAATACAGAGAAACTGCATTACCCACCTTGTTTGTACTGGGATAAAGAACTTTGGACTGGGCAGGAAAGCAATTGTTTTAAGAAATCATCAAGTTAACAACTGTTTGAGAACTGATGATTGTATACTTTTTGCCAGAGAGTAGAATTGGTAACCAATTAAAGTAATAAAGTTGGGCCTCCCTGGTGGCGCAGCAGTTGAGCGCTGGGTTGTGAAGCTGCCCGCAGCCTCTGTGGCGCCGGTTCGATCCCCGGCTGCTCCCCGGCCACCGGAGGAGGGTCCCACATGGCGCGCAGGCCTCTCCTGCCGCCCGCTGCTCCCCTCAGCAGTGTACTTCGATCCTTTTGCCTGCTCTGCTCCCCGCTCTGGCTCTGGCGAATTCTCTCACCCTCCTGTGCTTCTGACTGTACCCAGTGCTTGTATAAATAAATAAATCTTAAAAAAAAAAAAAGAATGGCTGTGAAAAAAAAGTTCAAAAAAAATTTACCTTTAAAGTAATAAAGTTACTTAGTAATAATCAATTCCTTTTTTTTTTTTAAAGATTTATTTATTTATGTGTACAAGAGCTGGGGTACAGGCCAGAGGTATGAGAGGTGAGAGGATCCACCAGAGACGGAGCAGGGAACAGAACAGGCAGACTGACTGAAATACACTGCTGAAGGGAGCAGTGGTTGAATCAGGAGAGGTCTGCTGTGCCATGTGGGTAGCTCCCTGGCCAGGGATGGAACTTGTGCTGCAGAGGCTGTGGGTAGCTTCACAGTGCTGTGCTTAACCCCTTGTGCCACCAGGGAGGCCTCCGTTATAATAATCAATTTTTTTCTTTAACTGCTCACCTCATCTTCCTCTTTTCCTTCCATGAGACCCGCTAAATTTATCCCTTCTCCAGGTACATTTTAAACTTCTGACTAAGTCTGTGCACCCCAAATTGCAAGTCATAGACTCCTAAACAAACACACCTTTTTATTTGCCTCCAAAACTTTTAGGATACTAATCCCTTGACTAGGAAAGAGCTGGTGGGTTTTAGAACAGTGAGGGAGTATGTGAAGGTGGAAGAGAAGTGTGAGAGCAGGGAAGTTAGTATCCTCCAAGAGCATGGTAAAGAGCCTGTATTTTACTCGTAGACAGAAGCCAGTGTTAGAAAGTTTTAACAAAGTGTGATGTTATGATGTGTTTATGTTTAACAAGCTCTGGCCACAGCTGGGAGATAAAGTGGAGGGAAGGGATCTAGCATGGAGGTCATGGGGACTGTGAAGGATGTCAAGGAGGATGTTCTGTTCTTCCTTAAGTAGGCTCATTTCCAGCCTAAGAGACTGCACTGCCTAGTCTTTCTCCCAATGAGGGGAGCTGGGGAAATGGCCTCTTAGATTGTCACATTTGCAGTCTTTCTGGCTTTCTGGACTTGGCTCACGTTACCTTCTTGGTGTAATTTCCTAGCCACCTGTCCCTCCAACTATGATCACCAACCCCTCCATCCACCCCAATCCAAAACATTCAAGCATTACCCTGTTTAAATCCTGAATAGCACTAGCCATGGTTGTTAACTATCTCCCCAAACTGTGGGCTCCAAGAGAGCAGAGTCCACATCTTTTATAGACAGTGCCCTGCAGACACCATCATATAATATAGATTCCATAAATTGTAGAGTGAGTGATTAAAGGGTTCCTTTTTTTATATTTTATATAATTCTTACATCATTTTTCATTTTTGCATAATGTATGCATTTTCATTTTGGTTATATTCCCCGTACAATTCCCACCCCCCTTATTTGTCCCTAATGCCTACCCCCCAACCCCCTAGTGTGTCTCTGGTATACAGTTGCTTGTTGATTTTGACTTTTTCTTTATTATAATTGGTCTTTTTCCTTGTCCCTTATTTAGGTTTTCTAAATTCTTGCTATGAGTGAGACCATCCATCCGATATTTTTCTTTTTCTTTCTGGCTTATTTCGCTGAGCATGATCCCTTCCAGCGCCATCCATGTTGCTGCAAATTGCTTGAGTTTATCTTTTTGAATGCTGAGTAATATTCCATTGTGTATATGTACCACATCTTGATCCAGTCATCTATTTTTGGGCATTTGGGTTGTTTCCATAGCTTAGCTATTGTAAATAGTGCTGCTATAAACAAAGGGGTGCAGGTGCCCTTTGAATTAATGTTTCTGTGTCCTTTGGGTGAATACCTAGGAGTGGAATTGCTGGATCATATGGAAGCTCTATCTTTAGTAGGTTGAGGAATCTCCACACAGCTTTCCATAGTGGTTGGACCATTTTGCATTCCCACCAGCAGTGCAGGAGAGTTCCTTTTTCTCCACATCCTTGCCAACATTTGTTGCTGCTAGTTTTTTAAATATGTGCCATTCTCACTGGTATAAGATGGTATCTCATTGTAGTTTTGATTTGCATTTCTAAAGGGGCCCCATCTGAACCAGATGCTATGCATGATGGTTAAGGGGGCCCAAGAGATAGACCCCATTCCCGAGGGTCTCACAGTTGTTCTGGAGGAAAAGCGATGTGTTAGATCCCAGAGGAGGTCCTTTACCCAGAGGAAGGTCAGGGAAGGCTTCCTAGAGGAAGTGACAGCTACCTCTACCAGGGAAAGATATAGAGGCCTACAGGCTGGAGGCCTACATCATGTGGAGCCTCTGGAGACTTGATAAGCACCAAAAGGAGTCATTATCCCATTTGACAAGACTCTGAAAGACAGAAACGGTCTGACACTACCTGATGACTTAATTCCTGTCCAAGGGCAGTATCTAGGAAGACATCTCTCTTGGAGACAGACACGAACAGGCAAGCGCCGTGCAATGCGTTGAGTTTCCAGCAGGCGGCTGTAAAAGCAGGGTTCTAAAGTCTACCAAAGATTGAAAACACGTGAAAAAGGAAAATAGGCTCCTCCAGGCTTCCGTACACGGAACACACACGCAAAGATGGCCGCGCACCCGCTCAAAGAGGGTCATGTGACTAAGTACTTCCTGCGTCCTCCCCAGCTTTACCGGAGCCTGATTTCCTGCGCTCTTGTAGAGAACACTAAGCCGGGGCTTGGTGTTTCAAGGCCGCAGAAGCCCATCCTGGGGCAGCTCTAACCTGGCTGTGCGGCCGCAGGAGCATGGAGGATCCCCGGGAGGGGAAGGCGCCTGCGGCGGCACTGGCCGCTGTGCTAAAGCACAGCTCAGCGCTGCCGACCGAGAGCGCCCAGGTCCGGGGCTACGACTTCAACCGCGGCGTGGACTACCGCGCGCTGTTGGAGGCCTACAGCACCACCGGCTTCCAGGCCACAAACTTCGGGCGCGCAGTGCAGCAAGTTAACGCCATGGTGAGAGTTGGGGCGGGACTTCCTGGGTCGAGGGGGCGTAGCCTCCAGAAACGCCACCGCGGTACCGGCCGGGGCGGGGTTTCCCTGAGGAAGGAGGCTTGTCCTTCGTTGGGGCGGTCCAATTGTTGGAGGTGGGCGGGGTCCATCCTAGGCGGGCGTTTGTGTGCTTTGAAGGGGACGTCGTTCCCCAGTATCGGTATCGTAGTGTCTACATGGGGTGGGAACTGTTTCTAAATGGCAGGTGGGTTATAGAAAACGTGTGGAAGTGTTTCCGAATGGGCGGATCCGGTGATCCGCTTGGTTGAAGGAGGCGCACAGATCATAAGGGGATCTTGGATTTGCTCTTCTCACTGCGAAAGGGGCCTGGACCTGCAAAGGAGATGCTCTTAGATTCTTGAAAGGGGGCAAATCCCTGGCTTGTTCCCTGAGGTTCCGACTGTGAAGTGGGCCGAGCCCGCACAGGGACTTTTCTTCCCTGGCTCAGGCAGAAGCGGTCCGGTCCCGTATCTCTGGGCGGGCAGAACCTAGGGGTGTAGTCTGACTAAGACAGAAACTCATTTGGGATCCTAGGACTGGAGTTTGGGGCCAGAGGTTAACTCGACTTGGCCCTTACGTCTAGATAGAGAAGAAGCTGGAGCCCCTGTCACAGGATGAAGACCATCACGCAGACCTGACCCAGAGTCTCCGCCCACTCACTGGCTGCACCATTTTCCTGGGCTACACCTCCAACCTCATCAGTTCAGGCATCCGTGAGACCATCCGTTACCTCGTGCAACACAACATGGTGGGGACCGGGTGGGGCTGTGGCCTTGGCCTCTCAGGGTCTCATTGGTTATCTAAGTGAGATAGGTTGATATGGATCAGTATTAAGCAGAGTAACAGCATGGAGTTTTGCTTTGCAGCAGAGTTCCCCCATCTTCCAGTGGGGACTCCTGATGGATGGACCATCAGGATGGGCCTGGATGAGAATTGGGTTCTGCCTGGTATGTGGGCAGAAGCCCCTTTCCTGGGTCAGCTACACTGTCTTGTGACTGTAGGTGGACGTCTTGGTGACCACAGCTGGGGGTGTGGAGGAGGATCTCATCAAGTGCCTGGCGCCCACATACTTAGGCGAGTTCAGCCTCAGGGGGAAGGAGCTTCGTGAGAATGGGATCAACAGGTAGGGGCCCGGAGTGGTGCTGGGTGGGGAGCTGAGCTAAGGGTCCTGGGCTCCCACTTGCCTCCTGTCCCCAGGATCGGGAACCTGCTGGTGCCCAATGACAATTACTGCAAGTTTGAGGACTGGTTGATGCCTATTCTGGACCAGATGGTGCTGGAGCAGAACACAGAGGTGGAGCAATGGAGGTGGGGGATAGAGCATGGTGGAGTCAGGGAGGCACTGCTGACTGAACCCCATGTTTCCTCCCAGGGTGTGAAATGGACACCTTCTAAGATGATCGCCCGACTTGGCAAGGAGATCAACAACCCAGATTCAGTGTATTACTGGGCCCAGAAGGTAAGGGGTGGTTGGGGGCAGAAATGACAAGCCTTGGCATGTATTATTTCATCTTCAGTCAGCTGGGTTTATTATTTTTATCATCCTCACTCTTAGGTGAGGAACCTCAATCTCAGAAGGCAGTTTGTGTGAAGTTACGCAGCTACTGAATGTGGTCTAGGCTCTAGATTACCTGGGAACATTGATGGCGAGGTGAATGTTCCCATGGAGTCTGGTATAGCCTCATGTTCCTCAGAGGCTGTGAGACCCAGCAATTGAAATAATAGGAGCTACCATTTTTTTTTTTTTTTAAGATTTATTTATTTATGCATACAAGACCTGGGGTTAGCCAGAGGTGCAGTGGGGTGAGAAGATTCCCCAGAAACAGAGTGAGGAGAACAGGTGGATCTACTGAAATACACTGCTGAGGGGAGCAGCGGGCAAGAAAGGAGAGGTCTGCTGCACCATGTGGGTTAGCTCCCTGGCCGGGGATCGAACTCATGCTGCAGTGGCTGCCGATAGCTTCATAGTGCTGAGACTTAATCACTGGTGCCACCAGGGAGGCCCAGGAGCTACCATTCTTATGTATTTTGGCAAAAATGGCCTGTGTGTTATCTGCCATTCCTTATGTATTTTATGTGGATTTTCTTGCATATGCCTTATCTCTGAGGGAGGTGTTCTTTCTATCCCCATTTTACAATTGTGGAAACAGAGAGTTTAACATCCTGACCACATTCAGGCAGGGGAGGGGATGCTATTAGGATGGGACCAGGCTTCCTCCACTGGGCTCAGCTCCAGCCATTGTCTTGTCTTTCCCCAGAACCACATCCCCGTGTTGAGCCCAGCACTCACAGATGGCTCCTTGGGTGACATGATCTTCTTCCATTCCTACAAGAATCCAGGCCTGGTCCTGGACATCATTGAGGGTGAGGTGCCAGTGCCACTACGGAGCAGGGAGGAAGGCTGATTGGGCCCACATCCTGACACAGCCTTTCCCCTCCAGACCTGAGGCTCATCAACACACAGGCCATTTTCGCCAAACGCTCTGGCATGATCATCTTGGGTGGGGGTGTGGTCAAGCACCATATTGCCAATGCCAACCTCATGGTGAGTGGGGATGCAGTGTGTGTGGTCTGTAGTGGGGGTGGCTTGCTATGCCGATGTGCCTGTTGGGCCAATAACATGTGCAAGGGAGACAGCAGTGTATTAGAACTGCCTAAGGTTTGCAAGCCCTCTTGGCACACACCTATATACCTTTATACATGTTACCATTCTAGTTGGGGAGACAGTACCAAGTCAGGTGGCAGTTACTGCTATGGAGAAAATAAGGACATAATAAAAAGGGGCACTGTGCAAAAAAAGGGAAGCCTTCCTGGGAAATGTGACCCAGGAAGTGTGAACAGAGGTTTTTGGCAAGTACTTCTCATGAGCCATGTGATTGTCCCTAGCAGAGGGAACAGATGGTGCAAAGGCTCTGAGGTACCAGAAGTAAGTCAAGGAACAACTAGGCCAGTGGGAGGTGACAGGCAAACCTGTAGGGCCTTGAGGGTTGCAACTTGTGTGCTCACAGATACCCTGTGGCTGCTGTGAGGGGAACAAATGTGGGGTCCCTATGAGTAGATGGGGCTAGGACCTGGGTAGGGATGCAGAGGTGGGTGGTAACTCCTGCTGAGATGTGGAAGGTTGTTGCTATGAAGGTGGTAGATTTGGAGAAATGTTGCCCATCATCTGCTCAGCAACCCCCATCCATCCAGTTGACTTGGGCCCCTTCCTTGGAGCCAGGGGCTAGCGAGGGCTTCTTTCATCTAGGACATAGCTGTTAGCCTTTCTACCTACAGTGCCCTGCCTCTTTGTCTCCCTCTTGTGACTGGCTGCCCTGCCCCTCCCACAGCGTAACGGGGCAGACTACGCGGTCTATATCAACACGGCCCAGGAGTTTGATGGCTCTGACTCGGGTGCCCGGCCAGATGAAGCTGTCTCCTGGGGCAAGATTCGGATGGATGCACAGCCTGTCAAGGTGAGAGCTGGTCAGCTAGCGGGGGTGCTGGGTCTCCCAGGCTGCTGCCACAGAGTCGTATGGCTCATTTGGGTCCCCTCTGCAGGTCTATGCCGACGCCTCTCTGGTCTTCCCCCTGCTTGTGGCTGAAACCTTTGCCCAGAAGATAGATGCATTTCGGCCTGAAAAGAAAGAGGACTAAAGGGCTGCAGCCCAAGGGAAGCCTCACTTCCTTCTTGATTTATTCATTTGTAGACCCAGCCCCTTCCCCATTCTTTGGTCAGCAGCATGTCTAGAATAAATGGTGTCAGTTGTCCTTCTTGAGTCTGTGTCTGTGTCCTTAGTGGTGGTGGTGGGTCCACTGACTTCAGCCTGCTCCACCCTCAGCCTCATAGGCCTCTTCCCGCCAGCACTGGATGCTACCTGCCATGGCGGTCAGCAGACAGGGCTCCGTGGGATGAAAAGACAATGACTGCACCACGCCGGGACCAACAGGCAGGGTCAGCGCCAGGGCACCCTGTGGAATGAGGGGATGGGAAACAGTTATGAGTGTGTCCCCGTCCCCTGATCTTCAGCCACCTGATTCTAACTGCATCTCAGACATTGACAACTGAATCTGCCCCCCTAAACCCCAGCTGCTCCAGCCTTCTGGGTGCTCAGGCCAAGTATTTAAGGAGTCTTTCTCACACCTCACATCCCTTTATCAGTATATCCTCTTGACTCTGCCTTGGAACCCTGCCAGGAGACTGCTCATTCTCTCCTGTCCTGTATTGCTCCTAGCTTCTCTTCCTGGCTTCTGGGCTCTACTGGCCCAGTTCAGAGCCTCAATGCTCTCACTTCCCTGATGACTCCAGTCACAGTATATACAGTTCTTCCTTCCACTGTGAGAATGTCCCTTCATGTGCCCTTCCCCTAGGATGATTTCCAGTCTGACGGACCCTCCAGAAGTAGAACATTTCACTTTCTAGTTCCAGAGCCAGATCTGGCCTTTTGAGTCTCTGGGTCCCTTAATTCCTTTCATCCTCTCTTAGGGGGCTTAATACCCCTAGCCCAAAGGCTCCTTAGCCCTGACCACACTAAGCCTGGATGATCTGTTCCCAGCCTGATGCCCCCACCAGGCTGGGACATATCAGGACAGGGCTTACAAGGCTTGAGGCTGGGAACCATGGGGTTGCTCAGGCTCTTGAATAACTATAGTTCCATCTCACTTAGAGTGAGATGCTGTCAGGCCCCATTCTCCAGGGTCAATCTCAGTGGCCTTTGTGGTCCTGCCTGCCTTAGATCCTGCTGCTTCCACCAGCATCCCAAAGTGTTACTTCCTAACTAGTGTGTACATGCCACACCTCCAAGCCTTAGCACATATCATTCCCTTCGCCAGGAATGCCCTTCCTACCTTGTCTTCTCATTCCCTCCTTGGAGATACCAGCTCTAACAGCCCTCCCTTTCCCAGGCCTGGGAGTGACTGTGGAAAGGACAGGTGCTCCAGTGTGGAGTCGGGTTGGGAAGGCTCACCTCTACCAGATCCCAGAAGAAAACCTTCCCATCCTCAGAGCAGCTGACAACATGTATGTCACGTTCACTCAGGCAGCAGTCCAGCTTGTACTCCTGGTTCTTATGGCCTGTGTACCTAGGGGATGGGAGTGGGGTCAGGGAGGCTTGGGCCTCAGTGGATGGGTATGGGACACCACAACTCCAAGGACTCACTCGCCCAGCAGCTCCCCTGTGTCCTTGTCCAGAAGCCGCAATGTGGAGTCTAGGCTGGACACCAGGATGCACTGCCCATCCCGACTGAAGCAGATACAGGTGATGGGGCCTGGGAGGAGGGTTTAGGCTGGGGAATGTGTTGTCTTGCCTTCCCTTCCTCCCACAGCCCCAGTCATACTCACTGCCCACATAGTCTGAAAAGAGCTGCCCCATCCTCATGTCATAGCGCCTCACTCGACCATCCACTGAGCTGCAAGAGAGGGTGGATCCAGCTGAAGCATGGACTTGGGCCAGTGGGTTTGTGGCTCTAGGCACCTGTACCCTCCCACTCTGCGAGGGTCCTCAGGGCAAGGTTGGGCCTTCCCTGCCTGTGCACCTCTCACTGTCATGCTCAGACTCAGGACTTAACAGGGAAACATGGATTGAACTGAACTCACAAGTGGAATTCTGAGGTAGTGGCTTTGAGCCTCAGACCCAAGGGCCAATTGGGTCCCATCTGTAATGAGCATCCTCAGTTGGGACTTAAAAGGATAAAAATATGCAGTCTAAGAGGAGATGGGTGGGAACAGGGCCAGCCACAAATACTGGGCTGTCCCAACTGTCCCCATAGTGGGAATGGCACTCTCCAGGGTTGTGGCAACACTTGGGCAGCACTGCGGGAGTTATTTATTTATTTAAAAGATTTATTTATGCATACAGGAACTGGGGTACAGACCAGAGGTACAGGGGGTGAAGGATTCACCAGAGACAGAGTGGGCAACAGAACAGGTAGACTGACTGAAATATACTGCTGAGGGGAGCAGTGGGTGAGTCAGGAGAGGTCTGTTGCGCCACGTGGGTAGCTCCCTGGCCGGGGATTGAAAATGGTGCTGCAGTGGCTGCGGATCTCATAGTGCTGGGACCTGAGCCCTTGAGCCACCAGGGAGGTCCACGTGAGAGTTTTGTTTTCTATGACCAGAATATCAGCCCTACATTGGCAGGGCTTTTCCCCTGTTTTCCTATTTTGTTCATTGCTGTATGCTCAATAACCAAAAAAGTAGCCTGTAATACGTGCTGAAATACACTTTCAACAAGTAGTAGAAGGGTAAGTTCAGGCAGAGAAAGAGCAATCGCAAAGGTCCTGGGTAGGAGCATGCTTGATATTTAACAGAAACAAGGCTTGAAATGAATAGAAGGTGATACGTCAGCAGGAACCAGATCATTCAGGGCCTTATGAGTTGCTGCGAGGAGAAAGGGTTCTTAATCTAAGTACACAGGCAGCTTGTGTCTGGGGAAGAGAAGCTAGGTTCTGGCTCCACTCACCCTGCCAGGATCTCATGGTCTGACACCTTCACACTAGATATGCCATCCCTTGCTTCATCCATTGTCTGCACTGGCTCAGGCCTCCGAGAGCGGCAGTCCCAGCAGCGAATACTGGAATCAATTGAGCCTGTGAGGCCAGCATGGAGGTTAAATCAGGTTTGGTGGAAGAGGGCAGGGGCAGCACCATGGGCCTCCCTACCTAGATCCTAGACTCACCAGACAGGATGATGGTGGCCTCTTCATTAAACTGCACCGTGTTCACCTTCTGAGAAACAGGAACTGCCACTCAGAGGAGGCTGGGCTTTGGGGGATTGGGATAAATGCCACAAAGGCTAAGGGTAGGGGATGTGAAATACATGTTTGGGGGAAATATAAAGTGAGGGTTTGAAAAAATGCTGGGCCATGGGGGAAGAATACTTGCTCTGTAAGGGTGGGGGTGTGTGTCCGTGTCACCACCTACACGCTAATGCGGGTCACTCCCGCAAATCCACGCTCTAAGGAAACCTCTTCTTGCTTGCACTCACCCCCGCGTGGCCCCGGAATTTGCGCACGGCTTGCCCCGATGCTACATCCCAAAGCACCACCGCCTTGTCCCCGCCACCAGAGCAGAGACTACTGTTGTCAAAGGAGCTAGGGGGCAGAGGAGGGAAAGTCAGCGTCGACCTCCGGTTCCGGCCTCAGGGTCCAGACCCCGGCTTGTTCCCAGCTCACCCGGCCGCGTCCAGCACCTCGTAACCGTGGCCGCTGTACGTTCGCAGCAGCGTCCCTCGCAACGGGTTCCAAAGCTTCAGGGTCTTGTCGCTGCCACACGTCAGGCAGTAATTGCCATCCACTGGGGAACACCAGCGGTGGTTACAGAGCCGCCGACCTCAGCAGGAGGGAGAACCCGAAATGAAGATTGGGGTGCTCACCATTAAATCGCACCGCTCGCACCGCCCCCTGCCCGCAGTCCAGCGTCTTCAACCGTTTTTGTGGCAGTTCCGGACTCCGCGGTTTTGGCTCAGGGAAAGCCATTGCTCCAGGATCCTTTCCTTGCTGCCTTAGAGTGGGCACGGAGGATTCCGAGCCCTCTGAAAACACGCTCGGGTGTAACCATACTATTGTCCTCCGGGGTCTACTTCCTGTTTCTCACTTTTGGGTTTAAAAATTCCTAATTTTTTGAAGCTAGCTTTGGGAATTTTGAAATCTGTTTCCAGGTTTCTATCCCCACTTCCAGTTTTTAAGGAACATTTCCCCCTCTTTTAATTATGTCTCCCCAACTAGGGGAAGACTCGGCCACAGGCGCTAGGAACCGAAGTGGGAGGGCTGCGGGTGTTACTCTAAAAGCCACTCTCCGTTTCCACGCCGGAAGCTGGCACTCCAGCCGCGGAAGAGGCGCCACCTTCGACTTGCAATGTCCGCGAACAATATGTCGGACCCACGGAGGCCGAACAAAGTGCTGAGGTGAGGACCCCAGCGTCATGGGAACGGGGCTTGGACTGTGGGTCGGGACCCAGGGACGCGCTTGTCCTTCCCAGGAGCGGGACTTGAGCGCCTCTGACCCTTGAGCCTGCCGCAGGTACAAGCCTCCGCCGAGCGAGTGTAACCCGGCCTTGGACGACCCGACGCCGGATTACATGAACCTTCTTGGCATGATCTTCAGCATGTGCGGGCTCATGCTCAAGGTGGGCGGGGCTGAGCTTACTATTGTGTAGCTCCACCTGCGAGGCTGGGGGCGGGTTCGGAATGAAGGGGGCTGCCTGCCGTCGCAAAGTGGGCGGGGCCTGGGTATTGCTGGGGGCGGAGTTGGGTGACGCCGGGCGTTGGGGGCGGGGAAGGGAGGTTAACTGGGGAGGAATCCGGGGGTCCGATCCTGGGTGGGTGCTTGGAATGTCGGTCTGAGGCTGTGGCCAGGCTTTAAAGCAACTTAGAGGGGAGGATGATGAGGGATGTCAAAGGCCAGTCTTAGGCTTCAGGAGATGCTGTGGGGTCAGAGATGCAGTTGTAGGACCAGAAACCAAGGATTTGGAGTGCTCCATCGGGGATGGGGTGGGCCGGAGATAAGCCGCTTCAATGGCTTGAAATCATTGCCTGGGACTGTCCCTAAGGGGACCTCATTGGTATGCTTCTCAGTGAGCCACCCCACTCACTTATCCACCTGTCTTTCCCCAGCTGAAGTGGTGTGCGTGGGTGGCCGTTTACTGCTCCTTCATCAGCTTCGCCAACTCTCGTAGCTCTGAGGACACTAAGCAGATGATGAGTAGCTTCATGTGAGGCTGGGCCTAGAGAGGGATGGTCTCCTGAGGGGAGGGGAACCCAAGCCTACTCACTTGGAGTACTAACATCTCTCTCTTGTCTCAGGCTGTCCATCTCTGCTGTGGTGATGTCTTATCTGCAGAACCCTCAACCCATGACGCCCCCCTGGTGATGAGCCTAGAGAATCACACCCTGGACCCCTATGTACACCTTTCCTCAGGCCTGGACCTTGGCTGCTCAGCCTCCTGCCCTCAGCTAACACTCTGGGCTTCTGTGGGTGAGGTCCTCTCAGGGCCTGTAGCTGAATGAAGGCCCCCCGCCCCAGCCCATTCCCACTTATGTTGGGGCAGAGAGGGGAATATTGTAGTCCTCCTCTTGCCTGCCTTCCCCACCCTGCCTGTTGCTGGGAGAGATGCTAGCCATGTTTCTAGATGTATCCACCTGTTTTCTTGTTGAAACCAGTGAAGAATAAAGATTTGCAATCTAACTGCTGTGACCTTTGTCCTGTGTGTCTTAGCTCCTCCAGAGGGGGAAGGGCTTCAGTCTGAAGACTTCTGGTGGTTCACTTGTTTATTTCATAAGCCTCATGCCTTAAGTCAGATGCCTAGAACAGGACAGTGACCTCAGACAAGTCAGCAGATGACCCTGCTGACATGCGGAATCTGGGCTTTGGTTTTCTTATCAGAGAAATTGGATGATATTTGCAAACTGGATCGACTTTTGTAGGGCTTGGAAAGGCAGTGTCCTCTTGCATCTCTATGGCTCTCATTCCCCACAGATGGAACCTGGTATTTGTCCCAACCAGGCTGAGTGCTTTCTGTCTCCAGCACTCCATGGCTAGTTCCTTTGCCCAACGTCTCAATTCCCATCAGCCTTTGCTCCCACCGAAGCTAGGTCCCACTAGACCCTAGCCCTGGTGTCAATGGGACACCCTAGGGTTCCATGCACTCATTCCATTTCCTAGGTAAACTTAGCATCCATAGGAAAACGAGACTTATGCTCCCAAGGGGACATAGGGGCGCTGGAGGCCACATGGAACTGGCGAGACACTAGTGGTCCCTCTGGCCATATCAAGGGTGCAAGCGCTCGAAACTCCCTTTGGTTTTGGAGCCCCACCCATCCTCCCCCCCCCCCCACGCCCCTGCTACTCGCAGTTACCGCCGCAGTCCCGTGACAAGTCGGGCTCCGCCTTAGCCCCGCCCCCGCCAGCGCCCATTGGCCAGGCCGCGTTCTGGGGGGGTGGGCGTTTCCCTTGCCTTAGCCAGGCCGCGGAACCCCCGGGAGGCGGCAGCAGCGGCGGCGGAGCCATGAGTGTCCGCGCGCGACTTTCTGGGGTCCGCGCTGGCGGCGGCAGGGGCGCGACGGGTTTCTGGATGGACTCTAGTCTGCCGCTGCCGCCGCTCTCCTTCCTCTTTTTGTTCCTGGCGGCACCAGGCGCTTGGGCGGCGGGGTACCAGGTGAGCAAGGCCGGGGTGGCGGGGGCGGAAATGTACTCCTGGGCGGAGTGAGATCTGGATCAGGGTCCGGAGGTGTGGGTTCTATGGGTTCCTAGGGAATGGATGCTAATTTGACAGTGTCGTCTGAGTGCTCTGTGTCACTGTGCGAGCCTGAGAATGGGATCGTCTGTAACAGCTGCCTCCTTGCTTCTGCGGGTCGGCTTGCCTAGACTGCATGCACTTAACTAGGTGATTGGGTGTCTTTGGGGGCGATTGGGAGCTGGGGCCAGGAGTCAGTCTGCTGGAAGTGTCTTCTCCACTCCTGGAGCCAGGCTGTGTGACCTTGGGCAAGTCACCTCACCTCTCTGATCTTCAATGCTTTCTTCTGAAAACTAGAGATAATATTACCCCCACCTTCCCGGGTGGCTGTGTGATATTTGCAAATCCTTAATAAACATTAGCTACCGTATTATTTCCTCTGGGTATGAATGAGAACTGCCCTGAGGGGTTGTGCCAAGTGGGACTTGTGTCCGAATATAACTATGTGTGTTAATATTCCTGGGAGGGCCTCACCCCACTGCTTGGAGTCACTTATCTCTAGATCAAAATTTATCTTGTATACTTCCACTCCCACCCCTGCCTGCCTCTTTGGAGTTACTGATGAGGTGTGCGGGTGTGTGTTTGGGTTCCCTATGTAGACATGCCCCAAGGTGATGCCGGACATGCTCAATGTGCACTTGGTGGCCCATACTCATGATGACGTGGGATGGCTCAAGACGGTGGACCAGTACTTTTATGGAAGTGAGTAGAGGGTGGGGACTGACCCCTGGAACTTCCATGCCTCTCTCCATCCTTCAAATCCCTTCTGGACCCTGGACACTTGGGTGAGGGCATTGACTAGCTTGGGCTCCTGTGTCTAAGAGCATGTCCATAGGTTCCCTTGGCCCTGACTGCCTGACTCTTGTGCCCACAGTCCACAATGACATTCAGCATGCTGGTGTGCAGTACATCCTAGACTCAGTCATCTCCGCTCTGCTAGCAGACCCTACCCGCCGGTTCATCTATGTGGAAATTGCCTTCTTCTCCCGTTGGTGGCACCAGCAGACAAATGCAACACAGGAAGTTGTGCGGGACTTGGTGCACCAGGGTAAGCCTACCCTGAGGAAGTGAAAAGAGGAAGCTCAGCACAGAGTTTTTATTACTCAGCTCAGTCAGTGTTTTTATTACTCTGACATCTGTGATTTTATCATGGCTGTGGCTCTGGCTGCCTGGAATTTCCCTTTATTTGGAGAACTCCTCTGCATCTTACAAAGTCCCATCTCCGATGTATTCACCTTCCCCACCATTTTCTGCTCCACTCTTGCCTCTGATAGCTGAGTTGGACTTTGTTCCTCCTTGCACAGGGCGCCTGGAGTTTGCCAATGGTGGCTGGGTGATGAACGATGAAGCGGCCACCCACTATGGAGCCATCATTGACCAGATGACACTTGGGCTGCGCTTTCTGGAGAACACGTTTGGCAGTGATGGGCGCCCTCGTGTCGCCTGGCATATTGACCCCTTCGGCCACTCTCGGGAGCAAGCCTCCCTGTTCGCACAGGTGCTTCTCCTTTTCTTGGATCCACCCGTCTCTTGGCTATTCCAGCTCATCCCTTCACTGCACTCTCACATGTACCGGATCCTGTCCCTATTCTCTGGTCCCCTGAGACTCTGTGCCTTGGGTGACCTGTGGATCTTATTCCTTTTCTTCTCTGGCCTTGGTTCTGCTTTGCCCCAGCTCCAGACTGACTACTCATTTCCCTCTTGACATCTGGCTCTGCCTTCTCCTCTGGCCTGGCTCTCTAGTGCTCTGGCTTTACCCCATTTGGTAGGGTCAGGCCTCTTCCTCCAGCTGGGTGGTAGGTAGAGACCCTACTGTGTCTTCTTTTTAAAAAGGTTTACTTTATTTATGCATACAAGAACTGGGGTATAGGCCAGAGGTGGGAGGAGTGATGAGAGGATTCACTAGAGATAGAGTGGGGAGCAGAACAGGTGGATCTACTGAAATATACTGCTAAGGGGCACAGTGGGCGAGATAGGAGAGGTCTGCTGCACCATGTGGGTTGGCTCCCTGGCTAGGGATTGAACTCATGCCCCAGTGGCTGCCAATAGCTTTATAGCGTGAGACTTAACCCCTGCGCCACCAGGGAGGCCCAATCCTACCCTGTTTTCTACAGGCTTCATTACATAGGCTATGACCCTGACCAATTCCATCCTCAGGCTGTGGAAGTGGGAATGTATCCTTGAGTCAGGCCCCCTTTTTGAGTGGGGAAAGGTGGGCATTAGAATTGGACCCACCCCTTCCCTGCTCTAGGGGTACCTTCTGGCCCTTCCTCAAGCTTGGAAATGAGCTGTAGGTCTCTCTGGTTTCAGACTTGCTGTTTCTACCTGGACTCTGACCCATCCCTCCAAACTGAGGGGGCTGATAGTTGGTGGATTGGTGGGGAGAGGCTGGGCACTTACTGAGTACCCTCCTATCTTGATCCACATTCTGCCCCACCATCAGATGGGCTTTGATGGTTTCTTCTTTGGACGCTTGGACTATCAAGACAAGATTGTGCGGAAGGCAGAGCGGGAGATGGAGCATGTGTGGCGAGCCAGTGCCAGCTTGAAACCCCCTGCTGCCGACCTCTTCACGAGTAAGGGGATGGGGAATGAGGACATGGGTGTGTTCACTTGGGGCTGCAGGTTCAGAAGAAGCTTATACTTGTTTTTTACTCTGCTGTCATTTTCTTGAAATGCTTGAAAATTTATTTTTAGCATCGGCCCTGTAAATTCTGAAGCCTGTCCTGGGTGGACCATCACAGGCTTTCCCCCCCACCCCCTGCATTTTAAAAGGACAGGTTTATTAGGAAAAGGAGAATGTAAAAGAGAGGCACCTGACTAGTCACAGATGGGCAGGAGAGCTGCTCATGGCAGGCTTTGACCTCAGGGCAGGTCTGGGGCACTGGGCCACCCCCTGAGCTTGGTGTGGCCCACAGGTGTGCTTCCCAACATGTATAACCCACCGGACGGTATGTGCTGGGACACAGTGTGTGCTGATAAGCCTGTGGTGGAGGACCCCCGCAGTCCTGAGTACAATGCCGAGAAACTGGTCGCTTACTTCCTGCAGTTGGCTGCTGCCCAGGTAACCTTGGTGTTCAGACCCTTTGACACTGATGTACATGATGTACATAGCTCTTCCCATGTCCAGGCATTTCCTAAAACCTCCTCATAAACCTGGAGGAAGGGTCACAGTCACCATGACCCCTCCTAAATTTTTATGTGTATTCTTGATTAGAAGCATGGAGAATCCTTCACCATTGCCCACACTCCTCATGGTGGTGAAACAGCATGACACACTGTCTCAGGACCCTCATCTGTGTGGTGGGCCCAAGAGAATTAATTATGCAGCACACAGTGGCTATTTTTCTCTTCATCCCTGTGCTCCCACTCTACACCTCCACATAGTCCTCAGTATCTACCCACACCCTTGACAACACATATATCAAGACACACGTATACATAGGTGACTCTATCTCTCTTACAGGGCCACAGTTACCGAACCAACCACACAGTGATGACCATGGGCTCAGACTTCCAATATGAGAATGCCAACATGTGGTTCAAGAACCTTGACAAGCTCATCCGGTTGGTCAATGCCCAGGTCAGTGTGCCTACCTTGTGTGGCTGTGTGCTTGTATCCTGGGCCTTGGGGCACATGCAGAGCTATGTGTGCTGTCTTACTTTTCTTTTTTTTTTTTTTAAGATTTATTTATTTATGCATACAAGAACTGGGGTACAGGCCAGAGGTGGGGGTGGGGTTGAGAGGATTCACCAGAGACAGAGTGGGGAACAGAACAGGCAGATTAACTGAAATACACTGCTGAAGGGAGCAGCAGGCGAGCCAGCAGAGGTCTGCAGGTCTGCTGTGCCATGTGGGTCACCTCCCTGGCTGGGGATCCAACTTGTGCTGCAGTGGCTTCGGATAGAGTAGCTTCATAGTGCTGCGACTTAACCCCTTGTGCCACTAGGGAGGTCCTGTGTCTTAGTTTTCTATTGTTACTATAACAAATTACCACAAACATAGTGGTTTAGAACAAGAGAAATGTATTAACAATTCTATAGGTCAGAAGTCCGACATGGGTCTTACTGGGCTAACATCAAGATGTTAGTTAGCAGGATTACATTCTTTTTAGAAGCTCTAGGGGAAGTTTCCTTGTTTTGTACAGCTTCTAGAGGCTGCACATATTCTTTGGGTGTTGGCCCCCTTCTTCCATCTTCAAAGTTAGCATATCCTCTTTCTGTTCCGGTTTCCGTTGTTACAGACCCTTGCAATTACATGGGGCCTGCAAGATACTGTGGGATAACATTTCTATTTAAAGGTCAGTTGATTAATAGCCTCAAATCCATCTGCAACCTTAATACCCATTTGCTTAGTAATTTGGCAAACAATCATGTGTTGCTTTACAGTGGGGACATGTTCTGAGAAATGCCTCATTAGGTGATATTGTCAGTGTGCAAACATGGTAGATTGAAACACATAAACCCAAGAGGCATAGCCTATTATACACTTTGTCTAGATGGTACAATCAGCTTTTGGGACCACTGTTGTATGTGTGGTCCATCCTTGACTGAAACATAATTAAGGAACACAGGACTGTAGTCACAGGTTGTTGGGATTAGGGCATGGACATCTTTGGGTGGCCATTGTTCTGCCTACCAGAGATGTGTTGATGTGTCCCATCCGCCCAGCACCCTGTCTTTCCTCTCCCATCTGAGGTGTCCCTTCCTATCATTTCATTCCTCAGGGCTCTCTAGTGGCACAGTCTTGGTGTCCTCACCTTCTACTAGCTCCGTGCACTGCTGTTTCACCAAAATTATCTTAGTCCCATCACCATGAGCCTTTAAGAAGACATTTACTTCTGATGAACCTTCCACAGCTTGATTACCTTTGCTTGTATGTGCTTAGGCTGCCAGGATGTCACATTCTTGGTTTCCTGTTGCTATTGACTGCTTCTTTACCCATTCCATTTTACTGGAAATTGAGTCCCTTGGTTCAAATCCTAGTTTTGCCTTTTCTTGGATCTGTGATCTTGAGAAATATTCTCAAGATTTCAGCACCTTAGTTTTCTTATTTAGAATATGGACTTAATGATGGTTCCCACCTGATAGGATTGTTAATGTGAATTTTATGAGTTCATTTGCATAGATCAATAGAATGGTACCAGGTAAACAATGAACATTAGGGTTTTTCATTACTTTGGGCTGATACCACTGTAGTGTTTCCCTTGGGAAGCCCTTCCTGCATCCCAATTGGAGCTCTTGCTTTTTCCTCTGTTCACACCAGTCCCTACAAGTACCTATGATGCTATGTCCTTTAGACACCTACTTCTATGAGCATATTGCAGCCAACTGACTGTTCAGTCTTGATCCTCCACTTGACTCAATTCTGTGAGAGTGAGGCTAATCTCTGATCCTGGAACGTGTCTGTAATCCTGAGCATACTGAGTGATTGTTTGCTGAAGAGTACACATGTGTGTCTATTTGTGTGTGTAGGCAGGTGTATGTACTAGGGTATGCACATAAAGGCATATAATCTCATGTACTTCTCTTCATTACTAAGCACCAAATGTATATGAGGCACTGGGGACACAACATGAGCAAAACTAACATTCTTTTCTTCACAGAAGCGTTTACCTTCTTGTTCTTTTCCTTCCCTTTGTTGAACTTGAGCACCAGTTCATTACAAAAATTGTGTCAATGGGCCTCCCGGTGGCGCAGTGGTTGAGCGCTGGGTTGTGAAGCTGCCCGAGCCTCTGTAGCGCCAGTTCGATCCCAGGCTGCTCCCTGGCCACCGGAGGAGGGTCCCACATGGCGCGTAGACCTCTCCTGCCACCCGCTGCTCCCCTCAGCAGTGTACTTCGGTCCTTCTGCCTGCTCTGCTCCCTGCTCTGGCTCTCGTGAATTCTCTCACCCTCCCGCGCTTCTGACTGTACCCAGTGCATGTATTAACAAAAACAAACAAACAAACAAACAAATAAATAAATAAAACATGCCTCTTTAAAAAAAAAAAAACAAAAAAACCCCTAAAAATTGTGTCAATGCTGCAAGATGAGTATTCCTGCCTTATAATGTGAAATTTCCCGTGAATGTTTGAATTATTAAATTAGAATTATTTCAAAAGTTTAGTAATTTTCAGGTTTATTCTTGCATTCCTGAAATTCTTTTCAGGATGGTATTACTTAAGTTTTGGCCAAACTTCATTTTCATACTTGCTCATTGGTTTACACTAAACTATGTATTCAAAGAATCAACCTGGGGCCTCCCCGGTGGTGCAGCAGTTGAGCACTGGGCTGTGAAGCTGGCCGCAGCCTTTGCAGCGCCGGTTTGATCCCCGGCCGCTGGCGAGGGTCCCACATGGCGCGCAGACCTCTCCTGCCGCCTGCTGCTCCCCTCAGCAGTGTACTTTGGTCCTTCTGCCTGTTCTTCTCCCCTCTCTGGCTCTACAAGCACTGTACCCAGTGCTTGTATAAATAAATAAATAAATCTTAAAAAAAAAAAAAAAAAAAATCAACCTGCTGGATGCATGGATGTGGGCATGTGCATGTGAGAATGTATTGCATACTTGTGGGGCCTCCTGGAAGGTGGACTCTCACACACACACACACACCTGCCCCCTGCAGCAGGCCAACGGGAGCCGTGTCAATGTTCTCTACTCCACTCCTGCCTGTTACCTCTGGGAGCTGAACAAGGCCAACCTTACCTGGTATTTGGGGTGCTGAGAGCTTCTTGGGGGGGAGGGGGTTGGGGTTGGCATGCTCTGTGGGGCATGAGCTTGCCCTCAATTCCTCTACTGCTGCAGGTCATTGAAACAGGATGATTTCTTCCCTTATGCGGACGGCCCGCACAAGTTTTGGACTGGCTACTTTTCCAGCCGGCCAGCCCTCAAACGCTATGAGCGCCTCAGCTACAACTTCCTCCAGGTGGGTGGGTACAGAGATCCAGGGGGTGCCCAGGGGTCCCCACATTCTGGATGCCCCAACATACCCCATGTCCCCCAGGTATGCAAGCAGATGGAGGCGCTGGTGGGTCCAGCGGCCAACGTTGGACCCTATGGCTCTGGAGACAGTTCACCCCTCAGTAGGTGTCTGCTGGGGGAGTGGGGTAGGGGTATGACTGAAACTGGATAGCAGACCTGTGTCACTGCCCTAGCCCTTTTTTAAAGCCCCTAAATCCTCCCCCCGCCCCAGCACATGACCTTTTGCGCATCCTTGGGGACAGGGCAAGAGCCCTGTGGAGACTCCACTGGCTTCCCTCTGCCTGCAGATGAGGCGATGGCTGTGCTCCAACACCACGATGCGGTCAGCGGCACCTCCCAACAGCACGTGGCGAACGACTACGCACGTCAGCTGGCTGAGGGCTGGGGGCCCTGTGAGGTGAGAGGGGCAGGGCCGAGAAGGGTGGAGACAGGAAGAAGTGTGGTCAAAGACACTGGGGTGGGGGGGGAAGGCTGGAGATGCCTGAGGGAGCGGGGCTTGTGAGAGGCGGGGCAATGAGATGGGGTGGGGTGGAACTTGGGGGAGGGGTGGAGAAAGACAAGCTGGGAGAGGAACAGGGAAGCGGGGAAGAGAGACCAGGAGGGGTGAGGAGGAGGTGGGCTTCCTGAGTGTAGCCACCTCTCAATCTCTTTTTTTTTTCAAATTTTTTTTTTTATAGAGGCATGTTTTTATTTATTTATTTATTTGTTTGTTTGTTTGTTTATACATGCACTGGGTACAGTCAGAAGCGCGGGAGGGTGAGAGAATTCACCAGAGCCAGAGCGGGGAGCAGAGCAGGCAGAAGGGCTGAAGTACACTGCTGAGGGGAGCAGCGGGTGGCAGGAGAGGTCTGCGCGCCATGTGGGACCCTCCTCCGGTGGCCGGGGAGCAGCCGGGGATCGAACTGGTGCTGCAGAGGCCGCAGGCAGCTTCGCAACCCAGTTGCTCAACCGCTGTGCCACCGGGGAGGCCCTCTCTCAATCTCTTTTAAGATTTATTTATTTATGCATATAAGAACTGGGGTACAGGCCAGAGGTGGGGGGAGGTGAGAGGATTCACCAGAGACAGAGTGGGGAGCAGAACAGGCGGATCTACTGAGAGAGCAGTGGGCGAGACAGGAGAGGTCTGCTGTGCCATGTGGGTCGCCTCCCTGGCTGGGATGGAACTTGAGCTGCAGTGGCTGCTGATAGCTTTGTAGTGCTGAGACGTAACCCTTTGCACCTCCAGGGAGGTTCCGTAGCCATCTCTTTATCCTCCTTCACAGGTTTTGCTGAGCAATGCGCTTGCGCGGCTCAGTGGCTCCAAGAAGGACTTCATTTTCTGCCGAGAACTCAATGTCAGCGTCTGTCCATTCTCCCAGAAGGCCAAGAGTGTGAGCCTGCTGGAGCTGGAGGGGCAGGGTGTAGAGGAGGCGGGATTCTTGAGGTTGATGGGCTCTTCAGGGTGGGGACTGGTTGCAAAGTCCTTTTGGTGGATCCTACTGGGGTGAGATCACATGGGGTGCGGTGAAGCAGGGGCAGAACTGGGACCAGTGTACCAGTTGGGAGCTTGGAACTCACAGGGACATTGCTGCACATGGTGGGTGGATTTGGAACAAGACTGCCATCACCCGTTCTACCTCTGACCACCCACCCCAGTTCCAGGTCATCATTTATAACCCCCTGGGACGGAAAGTGGATCACGTGGTGCGGATACCAGTCAGCAAACACGTTTTCATTGTGAAGGATCCCAAAGATGCAGTTGTGTCCAGTGATGTGAGCCTATTCAATGAATATCTGTCCTATGAATACCACCCCCCTCAATTTTCTCCCCCTTTAGACACCTACTTCTATGGGCATTTCTCCCTTACCCAATGGACACCTTCCTCTCTTGGGGTGCCTCACCTCCACGGATACCCCCTGAATGATATTAGCTTTTTCTTCTGAGTATCTTCCCCCTCTGTCTTATCATACTGCAACCCCTTGGGGAGAAATCCCCTCCATCAGTATGTTCCTATTTATGAATATTCCCCTCCTTAGCACCTCTTCCTTCCCCAAGGCTGTCATTCCTTTTCTCCCCTGCCTCAAGATCTCTTACCCCAACTTCTCCCTCACTTCTCCCCCTTCCCGCAGCTGCATCATCCTAGTGGATTTTTTCTATCTTATGAATCATCTCTATTCCTTTACTCAGAATTTCTTATTTTTTTGAAAAAAAGATTCATTTATTATGTAAGAACTGGGGTACAGGCCAGAGGTGTGTGGGTGAGAGGATTCTCCAGAGACAGAGTGGGGAGCAAAACAGGCAGACTGACCGAAGTACACTGCTGAGGGGAGGAGTGGGTGAGTCAGGAGAGGTCTGCTGCGCCATGTGGGTAGCTCCCTGGCTGGGGATTGAACTTGTGCTGCAGTGGCTGCAGACAGTTTCCTAGGTTGCGTCTTTTTTTTTTTTTTTAGATTTATTTATTTATGCATACAAGAGCTGGGGCACAGGCCAGAGATGTGGGGGGTGAGAAAATTCACCAGAGACAAAGTGGGGAACAGAATAGGCAGACCTCCCGAAATACGCTGGTGAGGGGAGCAGCGGGCGAGCCAGGAGAGGTTGGCTTCGCCATGTGGGTTGCCCCTTGGCTGGCCGGGGACTGAACTCGTGCTGCAGGTGCTGCGGATTGCCTCATAGTGTGGTGCTTAACCCCTACTCAGAATTTCTTTCTTTCTTTTTTTTTTTTTTAAAGATTTATTTATTTATTTATACATACATACAAGCACTGGATACAGTCAGAAGTGCGGGAGGGTGAGAGAATTCACCAGAGCCAGAGCGGGAACAGAGCTGGCAGACTGATGAAATACACTGCTGAGGGGAGTAGTGGGCGCAGCAGGAGAGGTCTGTTGCGCCATGTGGGACCCTCGCCAGTGGCCAGGGATCGAACAGGCGCTGCAGAGGCTGCAGGCAGCTTTGCAGCCCTGCGCTCAACCGCTGCGCCACCAGGGGAGGCCCCTACTCAGAATTTCTTAAACCTCCATCCCCCTGATCAATATCTGGGACTGCTTCTCTTTTTGGAATTGAGCCCTATATGCATGTGTGATTTGATATGTGTATTGACAGCCTCCTGGCTCTCTTTCCTTTTTCCCTTTCTGGAGGTGGTGACACTTTCCAGCTCTGACAGTCAAGAGCTGCTTTTCTCAGCCTCAGTGCCTGCCCTGGGCTTCAGCATCTACTCAGTAACTGAGGTGCCTGACCAGCTCCCAAGGACCCACACCTTGCAGCCCAAATTCCACAAGCCCTTGTCTACCATCTTGACCATCCAAAATGAGGTGAGACCCCATTCATATTCTCTTTCCCAACCCCATGACAAAATTGAGGTATTATGTTTAGGTGCATGGGTCAGTGGGTCTTGGGTTTGTGGTGTAGGGTTATCAGTCCTCTGTTGTGTTTCCTTGAGTGAGTGATTGCCTTCAGTGTCCCTTCCTTGGGCTGTTGTGGGGACCTAGTGTAATTATGGGGACACTTGGTGGCAGTAGGAGTTTGCAAGTTAAGTGAGGTGTGTTAGAGACTTGAGGGAGGCAGCCATGTGGCCATTTGGGAGAAGCCTTTCCAGGCAGGCAGGGAGTAGCAGACACAAAAGCCTTCAGAGAAGAGGGTGTTAGGTGTTTGAGGAGTCCTTTGTGACTGAAGCAGGATATAGGGTGGAGTGACAGGTTAGAACATGCAGGCCTTGATGCTGTAGGGGACTTCAGCCTTTACTGTGAAGGAGCTGGGGGAGAACAGGGCTATCTTAAGACTGCTTTTGTGGGTCCTTTCTTGCATAAGAAAATGTTAGAAATTATATATGTGTGTGTGTATATATATATATATAAATATTTTTTCTTTTTTTTAGATTTATTTTTATTTACTTATGCATACAAGAACTGGGGTGTAGGCCAGAGGTGCAGGGGGTGAGAGGATTCACCAGAGACAGAATGGGGTACAGAACAGGAAGATCTACTGAAGTACACTGCTGAAGGGAGCAGCAGGCGGGACAGGAGAGGTCTACTGCGCCATGTAGGTCAGCTCCCTGGCTGGGGATCAAAGTCATGCTGCAGTGACTGGTGATAGCTTGATAGTGGTGAGACTTAACCCCTTGCGCCATCAGGAAGGCCCCCCAGGTTATATTTCATGACTATGGATATAAAAATGACTGTTAACCAGACAGGCTTCATTAGAATATTAATTTTTATTACTTTTAAGTTTTCTTTTGATTGTAAAAAAGAATCAAATGTTTGTGTATTTCCTGAGCTCCTGGAAACCTCTGGGTAGTGGCACTGTAATTCCATGGTCAGATGCATGAAGCACCCCTAATCCCAGCTGACTGTAGGATGGGATTAGGGTGCTCACAGGCACCCTCTGGTGGCTATGCAGGGAATAGAGGGCCTGCAAGCACAGAAGTGGAAAACCAGTCCTCCAAGGCCATGAAAGTGGTGAGAAGCAGTCAGCCTGAGGATGAGCTTGAAGGTGGAACAGTTAGGGAGGGAGAGGGGAAGAGTACTTCAGGATTTTGTCCTGGGCTCTAGGAGGGATGAAGCTGCTATTGGCTAAAGTGATGTTCATTAATATCTGTCTGCCTTTTTCTGCCCAGTACTTGCAGGCTAGGTTTGATCCTGAGACGGGGTTCTTGATGGAGATACGTAATCTGGAACGGAACCTGCTGTTGCCTGTTCGTCAGGCCTTCTTCTGGTGAGAAAGTCAGCAAGAGCGCGAGGGGAGGAGCGAGGGGGCCTGAGTGGAGTTGTGGTCCCTTACCTGACTCTTACCTGCCCTGGCTTTAGGTACAATGCCAGCGTAGGCAATAACCTGAGCAGCCAGGTCTCAGGTGCCTACATCTTCAGACCCTACCGACAGGAACCACTGCCTGTGCGCCGCTGGGTTCAAACCCGCCTGGTGAAGGTCAGAGACCAGGGTGTGGGGTATATTGGGCCTGGGAGGGTGGTGTGCCATGTGCTGGGTGGGGTTGGGGAGGATTTATCTCTCCATCAGATAAGAGGGTTAAGACGTGAGGGAAATACTTGGGGATCCTTTCTTGGGGCCTGTATTTATCTCTAACTGTGCAAAATCATGCCATGTAAGCACATGAAAAGGCATTCACATCTGCTGTGCTTGAAAAATGGGGGTGGGATGTTTCCTCTTGGTCCATAAATGAGGAGTCAGGTGCTTCTTGAGTTTACCTAGGATCTGTAATGGTAGATTATATCTGGGGTAGATATTTGGGAATTCATACCTGGATAGGGCTTGTGTGATTTTTGCTTAGGGTGAATATCTGAGGGCATCTGAATGGGAGCAGAGACCTCTTGTTGACGCTTCTTAGGATGTGAATGGGACAGGTCACAGGACTATAGATAGCCTCAGGGCAGTCTGGACTATGTATTCTTTATGCCAGGTGGCCATGTGCCAGTTGTATTTTGGGGAGGGGATGTAGGTAATAGTGGGCAGTGCAAAAATTATGTGACAGTGACTCAGGTGAGAAGTGCAGGCATCCCATGAAGGCAGGTTCCCATGCTGTCTGTCAGTGGGATTGATCTGGATATAGGCCTTTGTGCAGAGACACCTCTGCTCAGGTTAGGCTCACACCTGCCCTCCACCCCCATGTGTCTGCAGACAGCCTTGGTGCAGGAGGTGCATCAGAACTTCTCAGCCTGGTGTTCCCAGGTGATTCGCCTGTACCCGGGACAACGGCACCTGGAGCTTGAGTGGACAGTGGGACCAATACCTGTGGGGTGAGTGGCACAGGCTGGGACTGGGGGTGGGTGGGTACCACGAACTGAGTGGAGGTTAGGCGAGGCTCACAACCTTGTTATCCCATTGGGTGCAGTGACAGCTGGGGAAAGGAGATCATTAGTCGCTTTGACACTGCACTGGAGACAAAAGGACTCTTCTACACAGACAGCAATGGTCGGGAGATCCTGGAGAGGAGGTGGGGTGACGGGCACTGATGTGTTTTTGGCGACTGGGGGTGGTGATGGGGCATCTGTTCATCCCAAAGGTGGGTGTGGGAGGATTGAAAGGGTGTGGGGAAGATCTGGGGCCAGACCCAAGCCCACCCCTTTCCAGGCGGGATTACCGGCCCACCTGGAAGCTGAACCAGACTGAGCCAGTGGCAGGAAACTACTATCCAGTCAACAGCCGAATTTATATCAAGGTATTCCACCCTGCCCCCATACTGCTTCCTGACACACCCTTTTTCAGACTGGGATCACCCCTCCTTTTTTTTTTTAATTTAAATTTTATTTTTTATATTCCCCGTACAATTACAACCCCCTTATTTTGGCCCCAAGCCCTCCTTTCCCCGCCCCCACCCCCCATAGAGTGTCTCTGGTTCATAGTTATTTGTTGATTATGATTTTTTTCTTTCTTATAGTTATTCTTTTTCCTGGTCCCTTATTTAAGTTTTCTAGATTCCTGCTATGAGTGAGACCATCTGGTATTTTTCTTTTTCTTTCTGGCTTATTTCACTGAGCATGATCCCTTCCAGCGCCATCCATGTTGCTGCAAATTGCATGTGTTTATCTTTTTTTGATTGCGGAGTAATATTCCATGGTGTACATGTACCACATCTTCTTGATCTAGTCATCTATTTTTGGGCATTTGGGTTGTTTCCAAAGCTTAGCTATTGTAAATGGTGCTGCTATAAACATAGGGGTGCAGGTGCTCTTTGGAATTGATGTTTCTGTGTCCTTTGGGTAACACCCCTCCTTTTTAGCATCTCCCCACTGTCCTCAGCAGGCTCCATCATCCCTTGTTGGGTCTGTCTGGGACCCAGGGATGGCAGCCCACCCCCTCATTCTACCCCTCACCTCCCAGGATAGTGAGATGCAGTTGACTGTGCTGACTGACCGTTCCCAGGGAGGCAGCAGTCTGAGAGATGGCTCCATAGAGCTCATGGTGAGTGTTCTGAGCCCCATCTACCCTGGGGTCCTTCCCCTAGTTCCCGCCCTGGTCCCTACTGGACCCTGAAGCCCGTTCTGTCCCAGTTCTCCTCAGTTGCACTTTTTTCTTTGTTGTTCGTGCTAAACCTCCTTTCCTATGTGAGACATTTACTCCAACTTTCATACAATCCCTACTTAGTCCCTGACTTGCCCCACCCTTGTTGGATCTTTACTTCCCTCTGTCCTTAGACCCTTGCCAGGTGGGATCCCCACCTCTCCTGAGGTCTCATCTACCAGACCTTATCCTTATCCATTCCCCCCACTTTTCCATTTCTCTTGAAATTCCCACAAGCTCTTACCCAAGAGCCTTACCCTTCCCTGGCCACTCTGCCCCCAGGTACACCGTAGGCTGCTTAAGGATGATGGACGTGGAGTAGGGGAGCCGCTACTGGAGGAAGGATCTGGCCGCTGGGTGCGAGGGCGCCACCTGGTGCTGCTGGATGAGGTCAAGACAGCAGCCGCTGGGCACAGGTTGCTGGCAGAGAAGGAAGTCCTGGCCCCGCAGGTGGTGCTGGCCTCTGGTGGTGGTGCCCCCTACCACAATAAGATCACACCAGTTAAGCAGGTGAGGGGCTGCTGGCTGGCTGATAGAAGCATGCCGGGGATGGGCTTGGGAGCAGGTTTTCCAAGCCTTAGCTGGGACACACTTTTGTAGTCACTACTGACCCCCCTCCCCTCAGCTCAGCACCATTGTGGGGTAGTCCCTGTGGGCATCCAGGTCCAGTCCCACCTCAGTAGCATCCCACCTGGACTGCATCCTGGCTCAGCTCTGGCCCTGGCACCTATCTACCTTAGCCCCACCCAGTCTCATGGGGAGGGTGGGGGTGAGGTAGGAAAGTGGGGTGGGGTAAGGGGTGGACCCTCACACCCCTTCTCACCTCCTCACCTAGGCCCTGCTCAGTCCCCACCTACTTTGATCCCACCTTCATCTGTTGTCCCCCTCTTCTTACCCTGCCAAAGGTTTCATCCAGACTTGAACTCCCTCAGGTCTCAGGCCAGATCAATTCTGTGGTTTCAAGCTAGGGCCCGCAAGGTGGAACTCCCCCACCTTGACAGACCCTGCCTCAGGGTCTGCCCCATGCTTTCATTAGCTCAGCTCTCCACTTTCCCTGATGAGCCTGTCTGCTTCCTGGGACTCAGTGTTACTCTCCCTTCTCAGTTCTCAGGGCTGCAATGGGAGCTGCCACCCTCGGTGCACCTGCTCACTCTGGCCTGCTGGGGCCCGGAAATGCTGCTCCTGCGCCTGGAGCATCAGTTTGCAGTAGGGGAGGACTCCGGCCGCAACCTGAGCTCCCCAGTGACCTTGGACTTGAGGGTGAGGAGGGCACAAATGGGAAGGGGACAGGAAAGAGGCAGGAGAGAGAAGTGGGGAAACCCTGCTTTATCCCCACCCAACTTGGCCCGTCCCTGCTTGCAGGACCTGTTCTCCACCTTCACCATCACTCACCTGCGGGAGACTACGCTGGCGGCCAACCAGCTCCGCGCCAGCGCTACAAGGCTCCAATGGACTTCAGACATGGGTGGGGACCTGCGTGGGGTGCTGGGATCTGTGGGAAAGTTGGCCAGTACCTGGATGTAGAACTTCAGGGTCAGCTCTGATCCAGGTTAGGGATTTAAGGGTCTGATGTGGGTCCAGCAAACTAGTGGATCTTAAAGATGGATTTCAGTGACACTAAGAAGGTTTGTCTAGTGTGGGTTTGTCTACTTATTTAATGGTCCTTGGGGTGGGGCTTAGGAGTGTGAGGGTGGTGGCCAGGCATTGGGGAGGAATTTGGGGGTCTAGGATGGTATTTAGGTCCTGGAAAGAAGTTGAAGTGTCTGGGAGTGAGGCCGTGGGGACAGATTTGAGAGTATATGTCTAGGCCCAGAGAGAGAGTATAAGGGATGCTGGCTGAGGCAGAGGAGGAAGTTTATGCCTTTCATTCCTTCTCCCCTACACCTCAGATGCAGGACCTGCACCCCATCCCTCTGGCTCTCAGCAGGACCCTACCATCATCACGTTGCAGCCTATGGAAATCCGTACCTTCCTGGTCTCAGTCCAGTGGAAAAGGGTGACTAGGCCTACTGGGGGCCTACGCCCCCATCCTTTACCTGCTGCTGCTGCCGCCACGAACAAAAGCCATTAAAGTGCCACTACCAAGACTTGGCTCAAGGTGTGACTGGATTTTTTGGGGGAGAGGGATAGAATTTATGAAGGTCAGCAAACCCTATCTGACCCTTCATCTGAGGCTTTGTAGGGAGGCCACTGGTGAGCCTGAATGTTCATACTGGACCATACACTGGTCATGTCCTAATTCGTCCTCTACCCCTGCTTCACCTTGGTGTCCACACAACAGGGTATCTTTAAAGATTTATTTATTTATACGAGAACCGGGGTACAGGCCAGATGTGTGGGAGGGTGAGAGGATTCACCAGAGACAGAGTGGGGAACAGAACAGGCAGACTGATGAAATACACTGCTGAGGGGAGCAGCAGGCGAGACAGGAGAGGTCTGCTGTGCTATGAGGGATTCTTGCCGCTGGCCAGGATCGAACCTGAGCTGCAGAGGCTGAGGACAGCTTCACAGTGCGGCGCTCAACCACCTGCGCCACCAGGGAGGCCCACAACAGGGTATCTTGAGGTGTCACAGAGGGTAGGCCTGTGCTTGATGCCGGGAAGCAAACATACACCAGGGTCTCCCGGACTCAGTCTTGAAGGCTCCGGGCTCTGAGGACAGGTGGGCTGGGCTGGGATCCTCCTAGGAGAAGAGACGGGGAACCTAGAATATTCTGGTTCTGGTGTCCACTGGGGTTTTATGGAGGAAGGAGAGTTTAGGATGAAACTTGAGGATTAGCAAGGCTGTGTGCTGGTCCCTTAAAGGCACATGGAGGGCAGGAGGACATCCCAAGCCCACCTGCAGCCCAGTGTGGCAATACAAGGGTCTGTGATTGTCAGATGTGCCTTTAGAAAATATTTCTGTCCCCTTGGGGGGGACACCTAAGAGCCTGGGCAAGCTAGGAACCACTGAGAGGGGAAGCCTGGGTCTGGATGAGATCACAGGTGGGGACTGGGTGTGCATGTACCTATTGAAAATTTCTGACTCTTCCTCTAAATGTTAGTCTAGCTGCTACAGTCCTGGTTGTACTTCCTAAAAACCTTTTTGAAAAATTTTATCTTGATGCTTTTTCCCTGACACATTTTTTATTTTATTTTCAAAATGCATCACTTCATTTTCCTTATAAGGCAGCGACACTTATAAACCTTACTTGTGACAGTCATGTTATTTCTTCAGGAAGTTCCAGGGCTTCCACCTTCCTGGGACTTACAGCTGGGCAGTCCAGGGTGTCAGATAGGAAAGCTTTCTTCACATCCACATGTTCTTTGATATTTGGGTTATTGAACACAAACTCACTGGAAAATTTATCTTCCACATAGTCTATTTCTGTTCCTATAATTGTTAGCTGTACTTTCTTTTTGTTGAATACTCTCTTAGACATCAGAATCCCCTTTGTCTTCATATATTCTAGTATATAAGAAGGGCCTTACTGGCTATTAAAGTCCTTGGGTTGGACACCAGCTTTCATATCTATGTGTTTAGGCTTATCTTTTTGTTTTTTTAAGATTTATTTATTTATGCATACAAGAACTGGGGTACAGGGCAGAGGTGTGGGGGGTGAGAGGATTCACCAGAGACAGAGTGGGAGCGGAACAGGCAGACTGACTGAAATACACTGCTGAAGGGAGCAGCGGGCTAGTCAGGAGAGGTCTGCTGCACCATGTGGGTAGCTCCCCGGCTGGGGATTGAACTCATGCTGCGGTGGCTGCGGATAGCTTCATAGGTTGCATCTTAACCCCTTGCACCATCAGGGAGGCCCTGTTTAGGCTTATTTTAAGTTGTTTCATGTTTATCGCTGAAGGTTAGCCAGGGTGGGCTGCAGGTTCCTCTTGCTCACCACCCTGACAGTGGGCCAGCAGTGGGCCAGATGAGCAAAGCTGACATCAGTGCCTGTCTTAGTGCCTGGGGGGCTTTGGGCCTCAGCTCGGCCACCTCAGCCTCTCTCCATGGACATAGGGGAAGGCAGCAGAAGAGGAGGACAGTGGGTATATTCTTTAAAACTTTTTGAAGTTTCCCCCTAGAACAGGAAGGCAGCAGATCTGGCAAGGATGTCTGGGACATGTGTGCCAGGGCTACCTGCTGTCCTGTGTGGAAACCTGTCATATGAGATAGCCATGAAGTTACTTGAGTATCCCACTGGTGGCAGGGGTCAGACTGGGCCAGCCAGTGTGCCCCAGGGGTAGTTTCTTGGGCTGGTTGTCCACCTACCTTCTTAGAACCTATCCAAATCCCTTTTCAAAGGTGGGCACTATGCTGGGCTGGCCAAGGAGATCTGTGGAGGTCACCCTAAATCTTTCCTCAGTTCTAAGACTGGATGCATCCCTGTAGGTGTCTTTGGGGATGGAGATAGGCATAGGTAGTCAGGCAGGCTCAGGGTGGCTGCCTGGCCAGGCTGTGGTTCTGCTGGGTCTTGTATTTGAACCATTTGGTGGTGCCTCCTGGAGACATGTCTGCATTCTGGATTAAAGGGGAAGCACTGGAGTAGAGCCAGTTAATATTAAGGGAATTACCTGTATTCATTTTGAGGTGGCCAATATGGTGATGTGGAATTTTTTTTTGTGGAACCCTTGCCGGTGGCTGGGTAACAAACCAGCGCTGCAGAGGCTGCGGGCAGCCTCGCAGCCCGGCACTCAACCACTGTGCCACCAGGGGAGGCCCGGTGATGTGGAATTTTTATACAAGTTATTAATGTTTGGCATAGTACTTTGGGTGCATTGTGGCTTCCCAACGGCCATTGTTAGAACTGCTTTCATGTCTGAGCAAAGAAAATTGCCTGCATATTGGTTTGTCCTGGTGGGGAATAAAAGAGATAATTGGTTCAGTCAACAGTGTAGTTCTGTGGCTACTTTCAGATTTGGAGCACTTACAAGGCTGTAGTAGAAACATATATCCCATGAATATTACTTGTCAGAACATGTGTATCTGTGGAATACATAATGTACACAACTTTGCCTACAGGTGCAGAAAAGTGTTCCTTGAGACCAAGCTGTGACCCATTTTACCATGGTTCAGGGCAGATATGGTTCACATTCCATTATTTGTGAAGTTATCAGCTGTTTGTTTCACTACTTTTGCTACACTCATTTTATTTGTATTTAAATATTTTAGGCAAATTAAGAACAAATGCACAAGTAAAGATGCAGTAAAAATGAATTGCTTGGTGTCATTACGTCATGTAGATAAAACATAGCAGTAAAGGGCCTCCCCGGTGGCGCAGCGGTTGAGCGCTGGGTTGCGAAGCTGCCCACGGCCTCTGCAGCACCGGTTCGATCCCCGGCCGCTCCCCGGCCACCGGAGGAGGGTCCCACATGGCGCGCAGACCTCTCCTGCCGCCCGCTGCTCCCCTCAGCAGTGTACTTCGGTCCTTCTGCCTGCTCTGCTCCCCGCTCTGGCTCTGGTGAATTCTCTCACCCTCCCGCGCTTCTGACTGTACCCAGTGCTTGTATGTATAAATCAATCAATAAATAAATCTTTAAAACAAAAAAAAAAAACAAAAAAAAACATAGCAGTAAAATAAAAAACATATATTTTGCCGGGACCAGCCTTGGCAAACTGGGTGTTAGGGGTTTCTGAAGGATGGGAAGGCGTCGGCGGCACAATTGAGGAATGAGGCAGACACACACAATGTCTTGTGCAAGTATCTCCTACTGAGGGTCTCAGCAGGTCTTTATTTATACGTTCAGGCAAGCAGTGAGATTACACCAACAAATGCATGGAAGCAAAGCAGAAACAATCAGTGCATTCTTTTCCCATGGACATCTGGCTCCTACGGGTTTCAGCAAGAAGGTAGCCTTCAAGGTTAATAGATAAAAAATTAAAAAAAACTAAACCTTACACTAAAACTCATTATTTTAGCTTGGACAATTACCTAAGACAGCCGATAGCCGTCGGTACACTCCTATCAGCTTAAGCCTAAGCATCAAAAGACTCCTCTATCCATATGGCCTTCAGTCGGAGACCAACTGCTTTCTGGTATTCAGCTAACAAGGTTTTCTACCTAGAAACTTCTTAACACAATTAACTTCATAGATCATTTTTAAAAAACTTTCCTAAGAAGCTTCTAAAAAGGCAAAAGAAGAAATTGCTATAGTCGTTGTCCTGGATTGCTTGTCCGGCATGTTCATGTATAACAAATTATTTCCCATTGTTAAAAGGGCCGGATTTTTAATGTTTAATTTTTAAGCAGGTAATTCTTTTATTTTTTATTTTTATATTCCTCATACAATTGCAACCCCCTGATTTTGACCCCAATCCCTCCTTTCCCAGCCGCCCCCCCTTCCCCCCACAAAGTGTGTCTCTGGTTCATAGTTGTTTGTTGATTTTGATTTTTTTCTTTCTTATAGTTATTCTTTTTCCTGGTCCCTTATTTAAGTTTTCTAGATTCCTGTTATGAGTGAACCCATCCGGTGTTTTTCTTTTTCTTTCTGGCTTATTTCGCTGAGCATGATCCCTTCCAGCACCATCCATGTTGCTGCAAATTGCATGTGTTTATCTTTTTTGAATGCTGAGTAATATTCCATGGTATATATGTACCACATCTTCTTGATCCAGTCATCTATTTTTGGGCATTTGGGTTGATTCCAAAGCTTAGCTATTGTAAACAATGCTGCTATAAACATAGGGGTGCAGGTGCTCTTTGGAATTAATGTTTCTAAGCAGGTAATTCTTAGTGCAACTCATTTACAGTATTCTTATACGTATAATTTATTGCCCAATGTACTTTCCGAGAAGTTTTTTCTTATATGACCAAGAACAAAAAACAAGGGGATGTTTGTGGGTTGCAGATTAATCTTCGGCCTCACGGTGTGAGGCCCTTTCTCTTGTTTACCAGCATCTTAGCTGGTTGAGGCTAAGGGCCCCTGCATATTTAACTTTTTTTTAAACTTATTTTTGCATTGAAGACCTGGGGTGTGTAGGCCAGAGGTGCTGGTGAGGGTGGGGTGAGCGGATTCACCAGAAACAGAGTGGGGAGCAGAACAGGTGAATTTACTGAAATACACTGCTGAGGGGAGCAGCGGGCTGCACCATGTGGGTAGCAACCTGGCTGGGGATTGAAGCTGTCGTGTGATAGCACTGAGACTTAA